CCAGAACAGAAACCCCACCCAGCACAGCTGGTGGTGAAGGCTTCTGGGAGTTGTAGTCCAAAAACACCTGAGTTAACCCAAGGTTAAGAACCACTGCTGTAGGTTTATGTGGATTTTTATGGATTGGGTGGAAAGCGTGGAGTTTTGACAGGACTCTGAGCTGGGCTTCTGTGTTTTTAATCCTGTCAGTTCTACCCAGCCAAGCCAAGAGAAAGGGAAGGTGGGATTAGTACCACATTTAGACTGCTAAAAGCCCATCCCTATTTATTGCTTGTTTTAAAATAACAATAGCTTGTCCATTATTTTTGCTCAAATGCGCAAAATCGCTGAACGTAGGAACTAAATCGAGAGTAGTAATAAAATTAACAAAATAGAACCACAATATTTATTTATTTTATTTAAAATATTTTTACCCTGCCTTTCTCCTTAAAAAGGGCCTGAGGCAGCTTACATCATTAAAAGACAATATTTAAATCTAAAAACAGTGAGTATACAATTTTAAAAAAAAATCAAACGAATATAGTACGAAAAACATCAACAATAAATATAAACCAAGTTGGTATAAACATTTCAAAAATCCTTTGTCCTGCAATAAAGAAAAAATGGTTTAATCTATTTACTTTTTTTTAAAGGGTTTTATTTTTATTTTAAAGAATTTTTTTTTTAATTTTTATTTAAACATGTTTTTAGGGTTATTGTTGCTGCTTTTAATGTTTCAATTTTTATTTTGTTTTCTATTAGGCGTGTTGTAACCTGCCCATAGTACAGTACAGTAGTATATTGACACTAATGGGGGCAGGAAACAAGTTGAATGAATGAATAAATAAATAAATAATCCCCAAATGACAAAGAAGTCTGCCTACAGAAGAAAGGGGAGAGAATGAATGAATAAATAAATAAATAATCCCCAAATGACGAAGAAGTCTGCCTACAGAAGAAAGGGGAGGTGTGTACTGCGTCAGGCTCCATACAGCAGGAACACTATAATAATCTGATGACAAACAGCATTAGAAACAAGTACAGTACTGTAATCCTCTAGCAGGGCTTCATATGATGATGATGGAAGGGAGTCATTACATGTGAACCCCTGCAATGTCTGTTTCTCTCAGCGTGTACCTGTAGAAGTACATAGTCTTCAGACACTCTGAGCTAAACCACCGAAGGACCGAAAAGGCCTAAACTTCATTGTTTCTTAGTTTACTTTCTTATAATATTTGTATGCCACCACCATAATGAGTTTTAAAGTGCCTCACAATAAGGAAATCAGTTGTGTATGTGTAGGATGTCACAGTTTGTAGGATGCGTCTTTCAAAGGCAGCTAAGCATTGGAGAAGATACTTTATGAATTAGAAAAACGGCCGGAAGTCTTGTGACACCCTAAGGATGAACACTTTATAAAAACAAAACAAATTCTGTAGATCTTATACTAAATAAAACTTATTAGTCTTTAATGTGCCACAAGTCTTATTGTTGTTTTTAAATTGCAATATGAGCTTCTTGTACTATGCGCTTTGTGCAAATAACACCAGAAGTGCCATCCAGAATTTCAGGTGTTTGCATGTTCTGTGTTTTGGTGGTAAATTTGACTTGAGGATCTGATTCCACAACACACCTTATCATTAAGGTTAAAAAAGTTATGCCGGTACTACAGTTTAGTGTTTTTTGTCTGTCAGGCAGATTCTGGCTCGTAGCCACCTCCTGAGGGAAAATGGACGCTTCCTAACTCAACAGGTGAGAAGAGAACGGGGAGGGGGGACTGATTCCTGAAGACCCCTCCCCTCCCCATCTATGCATATTCTTTAGCAGGGATCCATCAAATATTCTTTCTGGAACACTTGTTTGCAGCAAATATACACACAGCAAATTTCACAGTCTACTCCACACATGATCCTCTCTTGTTTAAGTCTGGTACCGAAACTACTGAGCTGTGTTTGAGTTCTTCCCTGCACTAGTACCAGTTCTGTACATCTGCCAAAGAGCTAGCAAAAATGCTGGGTTTACTTGTCCAGATAATGATCTTTTTAGCTGGTTGTCTGGAACAGACATGGCCAGCCTTTCTACTTTTCAACCAGTGGTCTAGTTTCTGGACATTGAATGCAAGTTTGTATCATACAAAAGCACAAACATGCTGTAAAGAAAAGGTCTAAAGGGATGCAACATCACTATGCCAAGCCCTGTACAAACCAAGACTGGGTTACTTTAAGGAACGTCTGCCTTTACAGTGGACCCTCGACTTACAGACGGCTCGACTTACAGACTTTTCGAGTTACAGACTTCACTGGGTCTAAAGGGATGCAACATCACTATGCCAAGCCCTGTACAAACAAGACTGGGTTACTTCAAGGAACGTCTGCCTTTATACCAGGGGCAGGAAACTGCCAGTTATGGGATTAATCGGTTTTCAATGCATTGTAGGTCAATAGAGACTCGACCTACAGACTTTTCGACTTGCAGCCAGCGTTCCAATACGGATTAATTCCGTAAGTAGAGGGTCCACTGTATACCAGGGGCAGGAGAAGTGGCCCAAAGCTCCCATTTGCTCTAAGTAACATAATCAGTGATGAGGAATGCTGGGAGATGCAGCCCAACAGCATCTGGAGGGGCCAGATTTTGTCCGCTGTTCCGGGCCACTGTGATTTTCATAGAAGCAAATGTTCCCACAGTGATCTACAAATTTTCAATCGGTGATGACATGAACCTGGGTCTACTATTCTTGCCACCTCTTCTTGATGTCTTCTGCTTCTGTGAGGTCCCTACCATTTTTTTCCTTTATCATGTATTTATTTATTTCTAGTATTTATATACTATGCCCATTTAAGTCTCAATATAAATCACAAGAAACTTAAATTATTATTCAGAAACAAGTGCTTTGATAGAGTGAATGCAGAACAGAATTTGATGTAAAAGGGAAAATTACTGCTCTTCACAGCAGGGCAACCCCAGTATTATTAACATATTCTGTTGGAGTTGTGAACTGGAAGTACTGTGGTCTTAAAAATAGGAAAAGCCAAGTCGTCCTGTCAAAGTACAGATACCATTGTTCCAAGATGTTGCACAGAGTGCTTTCATTTGCCAGGGAGCATGGGCATTCACGGAGCTGTCACACCCTTGTATGAGTCAAATCACTGAACCTCAAAACTACTTCCAAGCAACTGATAGTATTGCAACTTGTGAGTGAGAACTAACCTATGTTAATGAAAATCCCACAGTCCGGGGATGAATCGACTTTGGAACAGCTTGCCACCAGAGATCTGCCTGGCACCCTCACTGGGTGTTTTCAAGAGCCAATTAAAAACTTGGCTCTTTAGACAGGCCTTCCCTCCTGCCAATACTTGATTTTTCTTTTCTTGTTTTTTTCAAGTTTATCCTTCCCATCTTGATTATAGTATTATTGTAGATTTTAATTGTTGTTTTTATCTGTTTGTAATATATTGTGAGCCGCCCTGAGTAGACTCCTGTCTAGAAGGGTGGGATAAAAATCCAATAATAAATAAATAAAATTAATTAATTAGTTAATTAATGGCTTGAGAAATCATGACATGGACAGCACCCCAAGTACCTCCTGGAAGATCATGTCGATAAGCAATAACTGGACCTGTAGCTTAAATGAGACCGTTTTCAGTGTGAAACTGAGGGGTTCATACATGCAATCCAAGGCCAATTTATTTGCACTATTCTATGAGAAAAAAAATTAGGAAGCATGGTATAAATAATAGATGAAGCTAAAGAAATCATTTATCATATCCTAGCTGGATGCCCCAAGGTGGAATGAGCAGTTAATATATGTAGGCATAAGCAAACTGCAAATACTTTTTTTTTCCAAGCTAAACATTAGGATTTCATTCCTAATAGTTAGCCTTGACTCTTTGGTCTGCTCCCCTGGACCAGTGATGCTGAGAAATAAAAATGCAGTATAATAACCATAATATTATGTTTTTACGGTATTGTAAATTAGTTCAAGACCTCATTCACATGAGAAGTAACGTAGAAAGACATACTTCCACTACGTACATATATAATAAATGCTGAAGTATAGAATATCTTTTCATGTCTATAGCTGGTAGGGATTTTCTTTTCATTCTAAATAAGCCTGTGAGCAAATTGCATACCAGACCTTGATTGGGCCACAAGGGGCTAGACAGAGTAACCCAGGGAAAGCTGCATCCTCAACTGTGTGGGATGTTCATCACTGATCTAAAAGGGTAAGAGGAACCCAGGAGGTTTAAACTGAAGGCTAATCCTCTTATCTTCATATTACGCCCTCTCAAATGTGGTGGCAGTAGACCACAATGCTGAAAATCCCAGTGTTCTGAATTGCTTGTTAATAGCTGAATGCAATGTCAATAGGTCTGTGAAAGTGGAACTTCGTTTTCCTTGTTCGGAAACAGAAGGCAGGGCTCCAGGGGCGTGTGGCTGTTGTTAGTGGAAACTTTAAATCTGTTTCAAGAGGGAAACTTTCTCACATTTTCAAGGGGTGGGAGAGGTCAGAGGAATGCAGACCTTTCAAGTAATAAAATGTGAGCCATTTTGTAGTTAGAGTTTTTGATGAGCTTTTAGCATATGGATTTAACTAGGGAACCATTTTCTTCATAACAGTCAAAGGGATGTTTTATGTTTAGTTTTGACTGATCTGCTTGCCTGAAGAGCAAATGCTGTTGGGGTTTGAAGAACAGAAATGAAATTCAGCCGCAGACACCATGTGCCCATCCCATATCTCTTGTTTTGCCATGACAGAGGCTGTGTCCTTGAGAAATAATGCAGAGTTCAAATGCATTTTTTTAAAAAGAGATATGGTAGGAGACATGTTCCTTAGAAACTAGGCTAGAAAAGCAAACCCCCTCCCCCCATAAGGCTCTTCACATATCAGTTCAAATACATTTTGGCAACATGGATACAGTGAAGGACAAATCTCTGGACCATTTGTCCACTCACCTTACTCAGAACAAGAAATGGCCCCCTACTAATTTAGTACCTCTAAACTGTCCTTATATGCATGCTTACCTAGAAGTAAACTTAACAGGCCTCCTTTCTGAATGAAACTGGAATGATAAAAGATGGATCTGTGCTCCAGTGCTGTTTTAATCATCATGAGAAAAAATTTTTGAGGTAATATAAGTGAAGCAGGTTTGAGCATCCTGAAGGGATACTAAACATTTTTCTTCTTCCTTTTTGAAAAAGCACCAGAATGATATGCTGGCTTTGGTGGTCTTTTTTTGTTTGTCCAGGGCTTTCTCATGCGCAAACATTACTTCAATAACCCCGAAAGCGGCTTTTTCCGCAAAACCAAACGTAAGATTCAGCCTCGAAACCCACTGACAGGTAAGGAGGGATAGAATGGCCACTCTGTGGGAAAGGGACGCTGGGACTGCTCTGGGTACCCAAAGTGTTGGCCCTCAGAAAAAGGGCTTTGTTTTTTGAAGTGAACAGACGGGTGCCTTTCAGGGGGACTTGCAAATAAGCCCCATGGAAATCTAATTCAATATAGCTGCCACTTCTCTGCCCTTCAATTTGTGGGGTTGCCATAGACCTTATCCACACCCATCCACAGAGACTAGAAACTAGTCGTCTCCCCCCCCCAAAAAAAATCAGGGTGAAGGTTCTCAGGAAGCTGGCTTCTCTGCATAGTATATTATTTGAGGTCTTTTCTGCGCTCTCCCTAAATTTTGGCTTGGGTACACATCCTGGTTTAATATTTTTCCACCCTTTTTTTTCCAGACCCTACTATGGTCACAGAGATGATGAAAGGCAATATCATCAATGTGCTGCCCATGATCCTTGTTGGAGGCTGGATCAACTGGGCTTTCTCTGGCTTTGTGGCTAGTGAGTATAAAGAGAATCAATAAAGGCCTGAAGAAAGCAAAGCATGCTGCTTTTATACTGTCCCATACCGCTTAAAGCACTCTCTGGACGTTTTACAATGCAGGCTACAAATTGCCCCCCCCACGAGTTGGGGGGGTACTCCTTTTACCAAACTCGGAAGGATCGAAGGCTGAGTGAACCCTGAACTGGCTACCTGGGATTAAACCCGGGTCATGAGCACAGTTTTGGCTACAGTACAGCAGTTTAACAACTGCGCCACGAGGCTCACTAGAAGAACAGTAGAGGGTGACAGTTTTGAAGCTTGTTGTCTTAGTGTATGTTTTTAAATGTTTTTATATGAATGCTATGATTTGTTAGCCTTCCTCATGTTTATCTTCTTCCTTTTTTAAAGCTGCTGTGAAACTTTTGTAAAAGGTATAGTATAGAGCTATTTAAAAATCATAATAATTTGAACAGATCGTTCAGAGCCCCATGCTGTTATTGCTAGAAGCTTGTCTCATGTTTGGTGTGGTTCACAATTCTTAGCTTAGCCTGATTGCTAATTCAGTCCTTATATTCCTGTTTTATGAATGGGAAAATTCAGATTTTTGCCATTTTACCCATAGTCCAGGATAGTGGCTGAGCCCTGAACCAGGAAGACCCTAGTTCAGATCTCAGTCAGTTGTACATTCTTATATTTTCAAAAAAAAAGATATGCAACTAGCACTCAGGTTCCAGTTCCTATAATATACAGTATAAGAATGATAGTGTTACACTACAGTCTCACAGGCTGGTTGTCAAGATTATTTGGTTCCTGTATCCCCACTCTTGGAAAGCCTTGAAAAAAAATTAGTAGAGGCGGCAATGATCTTCCCAGTTGTTCCTGTAGCTCTGCTTTGGAACACCACCCAGGTTGGGGGAGGGCATTCAACAAAAAGCAGGACTGACAAGCTTTAGTAGGGTAGGGAGAGACAAAGGAAGGGACTTGGGGATAATGGGTCAGCAGTCAAGCTTGGAAGGGGGTAGAAGCGTCTCTAAACTCTTCTCCTTCCTAACCTGCTAGCCAAGGTTCCCTTCCCCCTGACCCTGCGGTTCAAGCCCATGCTGCAGCGTGGAATTAATCTGCCTTCCCTGGATGCCTCTTGGTAAGCACTTCTTTCCCTATCCCCAGATTTTGGATGAGTCCTTCTATGGTGGCGGTGGGGTTTGAATTGGGGAGGGGATGATGGGGATTCCAGCTTTAGGTTCTACCTGCGGGAGGGTGGCCAGTGACGGCTGTTCTCTTTGCAGGGTGAGTTCAGCCTCCTGGTATTTCCTCAACGTCTTTGGCCTGCGCCGAATGTACATCATCATCCTGGGGGAAGAGACTGGTAAGAGATGGCTGGGAGAAGCAGAGAAGGGAAGAGCAGAGCCTAGGAGGATTGAGCATGCATGTGGTCTTTTGAGGCTGCCTTGTGCTACGTAGATGGAACAAGACAGCCCTGCAGCTCAGGCTGGGACTGTTTCACATCCAGATCCTTTGTGTTGTTCCCAGTACTTCTGATGTGAAGAAAATAGGATCTGTTCTGGAACAGGATCCACGGCCAGTGTGGTGTAGGGGTTAGATTAGGGTTGGAGAAGGCATCAGGGCCCCAATGTTGATGGACAACCGTTCCCATCAGCCCAAGCCAACCTAGCCAATATGGAGGGAAGAGATACGTAGGTGTTAAAGGGTAGCTGTATTTGGACCGGAGAGGCCCAGCTTCAGGTCCTTGTTCAGGCATAAAAGCTCTTCTCTGAGTATCCCTGATCCAGTCACTACTCTCATCCTCACCTCTCTCTAAAAGGCTTCTTGTGATGATAAAGTGGGATAGAGGAGCCAGACGTGATGTCCTGACTCCTTAAGGAGAAGCTGGTATATAAATGAAATGTGGTAGAAGTATTTCTGGGCAGGACTGCTACCAATTATTTGTAGGAGATCATATGACATGAAAGGCTTTATGAACAGAAAAACTTAAAATTCGGAAAAAAACATATGCACTTGATCATATGGGTAATGCTGTATCAGAAACGTCACCCTGACATCTAGTTTTCTAAATGTCTAGAAAATTTGGAACAGAAAAATAGCATATTTTACTGGGAGCAGCCAAACTCCCAAAGCAATAAGCTAGTGTTTGGTTCCTCAGATTCAGTGGCCAGTATCCTATCAGAGTTCATGTAAAGTTTGCCTAACTTCCCATTACTACTGAATGAGATCCTGGAGACCATCTTAGTTTTGCAGTATGTTGCATGACCAGGCAATGACCAAAATGTGCCTCAACACCTCATCAACTATCTACAGCTGGTTGTACATATTTAATGTAAACAATTAGATTATGGCTGGTGTTAAATTAAAACAAAGAAAATGGGGCGAGTGTATGTGAAGGGGTATGAAGAGACAGGTGGTAACTCTATTTTAAAGCTTATGTTAAGACCTGAGACCTATTTATTAACAATTCTGGAAGCTCTTTACAGATTAATTAAATCAGACTGTGCCCAATGAACAGAAAGAATCAGAATCAGAATGTATGGGTTCCTTGTAAGGCAGTGCTTTGAAGTAAAGACACCTATGGCCTTTGTAACAACAAAATAGTTTTAGGTTTTTCCAGAGGGGCAGTTATATTAGTCTGTTGCAGCAAAACCAACAAGGAGTCTTGTGGTACTTTCCAAATAATTTTTTATTAGATGTAAGCTTTCGTGGATTTTAGTCCATTTCATCAGATGTGTATCTGATTTTGTAGGATTTGCAGAAGTACCAGATTGTGATTATTTTCACAATAGGTCAAAATTCATTTGTATAGTTCTTACTATGGACAAGACACTATTCCCACCCATCCCCCGTCAGCTTCTACCGTGTTTCCCCGAAAATAAGACAGGGCCTTATATTAATGTTTGCTCCAACAAACGCATTAGGGCTTATTTTCAGGGGGTGTTTTTTTAAGGTGTAAAAAATACAGGTTAAAATGTACAACCATCTACATTTATTCAAATACAGCCATGTCATCATCTTCGGCTTGCTGCACAATGGTGGAAGGTAGGGCTTATATGACAAGCATCAGGTTAGGTCTTATTTTTGGGGAAATGGGGCATTTAGCATTATGCAAAGAAGCAGGAAATTGTCAAAAGTTTATCAGTTCATCTGTTTTTAACTCAGAATGCAAAAAACCAAAAATTAAATACCTATCACTTATTGATTGGATTGTTGTTTTATATGCCGCTTTACAAAGTGGTACAGAATGCAACTTCTCTGCAGGCCTGTGTACGTAAAGTAGTGTTACTATTCAGAACAACGATAACTGTGAGCCCCCTGTAGGGAGAAAGGGACATATAAATAGTATAAATAAATACAGTATATATGGTGTCTTCCACTGCAGCTTTCGGATTTCTATTACATTTCACAGTTCTACCCTCTCCATACTGTGTGAACCTGTCTTCTGAGGTTACATGCTGCACATGAGTACTAGACTATAGCCCATGAAAGCTTATGCCAAACAAAACCTGTTACTCTTCAAGGTGCCGCAAAATAAAGCACTATGCACAGCCTAATTGGATTAGCATAACTGAGTAGCAGGATGGCATCCACATGCATGCATGCATACAAAGTAGGGGTGGGCAAGTTTTTGGTCAGCGGTTCCATTATTCCTTAACCATTGGCCACACAAGCTCGAATTAATGGGACTTGTAGGCCAAACAATCTGTAGGGTCACTGTCACCTGTCCGAAAGTCCCATTGCTAGGTGGTGGAAATGCGCCATCCTCCCATTCCAGAGTGCCCAAATGTGAAAGGAGCTGCCCATAATGGCTCTTCATTCAAACCTTCACTCCTGTCATTCCCAATCTGGAATAGTACAACCCAGGAACAGATTTATTGCACAGTGTAAACCTCATGAGGGTAGACCTTTGTGTTGACCTCACTCAGAGGAATAAACTGCCTCTCTGAATTGGCCTAATTTATTACATCATCAGTTTGTCTGGATTTTCCTTAGAATAAAACCTTCTAATGTCCTCCAGACACTGATTTCTAAAAAAAAAAAAAAATTTTTTTTTGAAGTGAGAGAGTGACAAAAGAGAGAGAACTAGGTTTGCTTGTCTCCCATGACTCAAAGACTTGATGTCTGACTCCCCTGGCATGTCTCAAATGGCAAAGCTTACTTTCTGATCATCATCATCATTATTATTTGCCCCCACACTTCATTTCACCATATCATCCTTTTAGGAGATCATGAGAAGGGGAAATTCCAAACTCAGAGTTCAAGGGTGCTCTTTTGAATCACTGGAATGTTATTGTTTCACAAGAAAACAGCCAGCCAGCATCCCCCAACTGTTCTGAGTTCCGCTGGGACAAATCGTGAAAGGAAAAGGAGCTGAGAGAAGGAGATGGACCAAAACCCACCACTTAAGAGCAGTGTACTGGCATGACTAGGTATCTCTCTTCTCCCAGGGCTTAGAAGAGCCCACGGGATCCTGAGTTTTGCAAATGCTTTCCACCCTTTCTCAAAAATCTGCCTACTCCGTGCTGCTCTGCCATTGCTACACTGAAGAGTTGGCTTGGACCAATTTATTCTGAGAATAAAAACTTTGCAAGCCTTATCGTTCAAGGAATAGCAATGTTGTTGCAGCAGCAACAGGTCCCCTGGCACACATTGAGACTTAAAAGAGTACAGTATGTATCCCTCGTCAGAAGCACAAAGCATTTTAGGATCCGTTACAGAGGAACCTGTGTTGTAATGCACAGAGAGTGGGTTTTGTTTGTTTGTTTCATGGGGAAGCGGGTCCTTTAGTCAAGGTACTTCTCCCAAGGTAACATTTGTGTGCATCTAAGTCAACTTGCAGAACTTCAGTTTGTGGCTTGGTGTGTAATAAAGTCTTCTTTCTCATCCATTTCTGCCTCACATTTTTCTCTTAAGCTGCAGAGCAGGGTCAATACCCTTGGCAAGACCAGTTCCTGGGCCCATCCGTGCCTGCTCCCCCTGATCCCAACAAGGCCTTCAAGGTAATCTCAGTAGCCATCCTGACCTTGGGGGAATTCTGGGAGATGTAGTCCCCCCCCAAAAAAACTTTGCAGTTTCTTGCCTCAGCCTAAGTTTTATCGTTGTTTTTGGTATTCATGCCAATCACTGCACCCAAGGATTTAGAGCCTGGTCTATAATTTGTATGGGGATAATTTTTGTGTCAGTAGAATCAGCCCAGCCTTGACTGGTTCTTATCTCCTCCTTCAGGCTGAATGGGAAGCATTAGAGCTGGCCTCTCACCGCTGGGCTCTTCAAGATGTTGAACAAGAACTGATGTCACAGGACCTTGAGCTGGAAGGGATGTTTGGGCCAGACTGACCTCAGCCATAGTAGCTGTGGATCCTAACAAGCACTGATGGGGCAACTCTGCGCATGCAGAGGGTGCCCCAGTCCCTGGGATGCCACCCAGGGCAGAGGGCCACCTCATTATGCATGATGTGTTAAAAGTGTGGATTGGCTTTTCGTCTGTAGAGTCAAGAAGCTGCTGCAGGGGGCTGGCGTCCATGGACAGACCACAGTCAGGCAGAGCAGCTGGCAGTAGCACCACTTTAGCTAGCTCTTAGTGGTTGAAGCATTGAGAATGGGTTGGAGCAAGCGAGAGCTGCTGTTCTCCTTCAGCTTGGAGGGATGAAAAACAACTTGGTAAGAGGCCTCAACATGTAAAACTGAATGTCGGTTGCAGACGTGTTTGGTTATTAAACTGACATGCTTTGCTTTATTGTTCCATACCTGCTCTTTGTGTGCTCCACAGCTGGTGGCAAACACCTAAAATTTAGATTTTGCTAGTTTCCTCCAAATAATACCCTGAAAGAATGCCACCCTTACTAAGAAATATCCCTCGAGACATTTTTAATTTAGAATGAAAATGGAGGGACTGTCCAATCCTAGAACATCAGTTACCTGTTCCTCTACAAGTGCAGGAAGCTTGAAACAGAATCCAACAGAGTCCTTTGGCTTTTGTAGCCATAAGAATTCATGTTTAAGGCTATTCTCCATCTAGACCAGCCTTCCAGACAATCATCCCACACACCCCTCTCCCCAAAAGGGGAGTTTGCAGCCCACAGGTGAAGAACTCGGGCAATGATTTTCCCATGCCAGCAGCATCAAGGCTCCCTGCTCCCCCATAAGGAGACACCCTACTAAAAGGTTAAAGCTTCAAAGAAAATGTTCTTCACCTGTGTCAGCTTCAAGGCTACTCTACTACAAATAAAGAGCGTGCAAGGCTATAGATCCCTTCCTAGGGTATAGCAGTCCTTAAGTGAATCTGGTATCTGCAGAAGCCAGGCATCTTGCTTGCAGACAGAATGGACACACTCAAATCTGCTGCCTGATCATCGCTGCTCTGCATCCTCCTTAAACGTCCTTAGTTTTGCTAAGGTGTCAGGAAGGAAATCTCCCCACAAGGACTCTATGCTTTGCTAGGAAAAGAACGGTTCTTTCCCTGATGTCCCTTCATCAGGGTCCCTGCCCGTTGGAACTGATGGTCTAAATAGGAGACAAAGTCTTGCTCTACTGCAGCATCTTCATTTTGCAAGGCAGAGTAAAACACAGAGGAATTAACTTTTAGAAGGTTTGGAGCCCGATTCCAAAGGAAATCAAGCTAAAAAGAGATGGCCGAGGGTAAACAGAAGAGGTAAAAGAGAGTCCACATGCAATTTAAAAGAAGTTACTTTTATGTACAAGTGTTGCCACATGCCAAAAATATTTTCTTCTGCAAACGAACAAAAAACTTCAAAAAGAAAATTAAGCCCCACTAGTCAAGTGAAGGAATGTCCTTCGCAAACTCTTTTAAGTAAGAAAATACATTATGTGCTTCTGCAGGCAGCAAATGTCCTGTGCTTGGCCAATACTGCCTCCGTTGGTGGGCCCCCTCTTCTCCCCCACCCACCATTGCACGCACAAAACCTATTTACAAACTAGCGCAATCCCTGAGCCTGGAAGCAGCAGTGGTGATGCTCACCAGAGGGGAAGAACTGCCAATACATTCCTGGACAGGTCCCCAGAATGCCTCAGGAAACTGGGGTGGGGGAACCTCCACCACTGATAGTGGCAGACAGCAAAGGAAGCTCCTCAGCTCCTTAGACAGGGTGTCTCCAGGGCAGCACAGGCCAAAGCAGATCTGCCGGAATCCTAAACAGGCTTAGAATCCACCCTTGGAAGCATCATCTGCTAGCCCAGTGGCTTGGAGCTGCCGCCGCCGCCGCCACAACTGGACAAGAAACTTCAGATACAAGAAGCCCTGGAAACGCCTGTCTATTGGGAAGTCAAGGAGCTGCTGGCTGTACGCAAGATGATGATTGTAGTGGGATGACAGTGGAATTATTGCTCTGGTTGGGGACAGGAATAAAAAGGAGGCACTTGGGAGGTAAGTGAGCAGGAAAGAAAGCAAGGGCCCCTTCAAGCAGCCCTCTGCAGTGATCAATCCTTGGGTGAGGAGAAAGTGTCCTGAAGAATGTCTTTAAAAATCCTCCAAAGCACAGTGTTATGGCTGACCCAAGAGGGAAGGGAGGTTCTTCAGAGGCTGGAGTGGAAAGGGAGGAAGGAGAGCTGCAGGGAGGCAGCATACGGTGGGGCTCACAGGAATGACATGCTTAACACTGCCCTTCCCCAGAGAGGAGAAGTCTGACCCTGAGAAAAGCTCCCCACTCGTGAAAGATAAAAAGGTGATTGGGGGGGGCAGAAAGGAAACCCTCCCCTTGTATCTTATAAAACGCTGGTGCAAGACACTGGCCTTTGAAAGGGGAAGAGAAGCAAGCCTTCCTACCTCAGAGCAGGGAAACCGTGCAAAGCAAAAGGACCTGCGCTTTGGGCAAGAAAAGAGCAGAGAAGGGTGGCGTGGGGTGGGGTAGTCAGGCCTCTCCAGTCTTACAACACTTCTCTCACTCTCTTCCAAGGCCTGAGTAAAAAAGAGCACTGCCGCTGGAGAGAGTCCAGCTGCCAGCTTCAGTTTGAGGGATACAGAAAAATGCATGGCTTTCTTTCCCTGCCCTCTCCTGCTGTGAACGGAGGAAGGCGTGCAAGGCAACGTTCAGTCCACATCCATGAAGTCCCGGCTGCTTTGCTCTCTGGGATGGGAATCGTAGCAGGCTGTGTAGTCCTTCTGGTCGTGGCTCGTTGCCGTGCTTGTGGGTGCAGCGGAAGGGACCGGGTGGCGGATTTTGTCCTGGCGCTGGTAGAACAGGACATAAGCAGCTTTCGACTGAGGCAGGGGAGAAAGGAAGAAAAGAAAGTGAGAGATGACAGACCTAAACTGGAAGGAGTGGAGGATGAGCCTCATGAGCCTTGAGTCCCACCTCTGACAGTAGGGGAGCCTGGATCTGTTTGAAAATCACAAGCTGCCACAGAGGTAAAAACAAGCTTTGAGGCTTATCTTGATTACACAAGTTCACTAGCTGTCAAATATGTGTGGAAGGGTGATTTGGGACACTAAGGGTCCAGGAATGAAAACAAAGTTAACACACATGGGCTGAAATCCTCTTGCTTGGCTACACCCTGGAAGTTGCATACGCCACTGTGAAATTTAGAAGTCTTATCTAGTTGGACAATCAAATACGAGAACTATGTGGGTGTAACTCCTTGTGAATTTCTGCAGGTGTAATTTTACCCTATGCAAAGTGCAGTGGGGCTTCAGCCATTGTGTCACTAGACCTGTCAACACACAGGTTGGTAAGTTACTTTTGAGAGGAACGGGCAAAGTGGCAGGTTGAGGCTATCCAACCCTAAACAGCGGTAGAATGGTGCTCTGGATCCTCCAAGGATCATCCTACCTCTTGCCAGTTCTAGACGGCCTCACCAGGCAACTTACTGACATTCAAAACAACTAAGAATGTGAAAAAGCAGTGTTGTGCAGAATATAAAAAGACCTACTAGGAGGGTTTGTATTCAAATTGCTCAGCCATGAAGTTCATGGGTGCAGCTGTGGTCAGATCCAGAACGTTTACAAAGGTGACAATATTTTGGGGCACCAGTAGGGTCATGAGAGCTCCTGCCAGAGAAGGAAGGAGTATAGTCCCTGCCCACATGGGAAAGGGTGGGGAGCAAATACAAGAAATGGCTTTTTAAAATGAATATAACCACCCTTGAGGAACTTCAGTATGGGATAATTAGCACTTCGTCCTCCAGAACACTTAAGGCCTCAGCAAATTCATATCACAGAGTTTTTGTTGGCCAGAAAGCATGAAGAGGGACATGGCTTTCCTCTTACCTCTATCTGAGCCTCTGAAACTGCAGAGACGCTGCTGTCATCAAAATAAAACCAGTTTCCATTGTCCTTGTTCCGGGCAAAAGTAGTGTCTAGAAGGCATCAAAGGCAAGTTAGAACATGAGAGGACAGCTTCATATTCTTCTAGTATTGGCCAGAAAAAAAGGTCACTTGCAGCACAGGCACAACTGCAGGGCTCTATGCTTATGTCAGATTTTTTGGGATGCCATGTCTAACTAGTGTACACTCTGGGAACCAAAAAAAAAATACGGCTTGGTGTGGTGGGAGAGGCAGCTTATGTGCCTTCCCCTCAAAGACGGATCATCTGCTAAGCCAGACATTTCACACAATGGCTAAAATCCTCTTGGTAAGTGTAGTAAATTATGTTACAGTAGGCCCCTTGAATCAATGGGAATTTGGTGAGTCAACCTTTCCACAAGTTCCATTGATTTCAATGGGCCTTCTGTAGTGTGACTTATAATGTTAAACAACGGGATTTGGGCCTATATATGGCCTGTCCATTGAAGACTTTATGGAAAATGTTTGTCCCAAACAAGGCTGCCAAGTTGGGACTAAGGAGAGCCAGGAAACATCTCTCACGAATGCATAAGCTATAGAATTGGCTTTTGATCCATTCCTCAGACAATTCAAAGTTTTGGCAATCAATTGTTCTTTGAGGCCCTACAAGGCTGGATAACAGGGAAGCCTAGAAGTCTCTATCTATCCCCTATCATGGGCCTGCCTTGACTTTACTGTCTTCTTTAAAGTCCCCCTATCCCCACCCAACACAGAAATTAAATGGGCAGTGACCCAAGAAAAGATGCCCTTCCAACAGAAGACACTCTGTCGAGCATCTTAGGAAGGAAACCCCAGAACAAAATTCAGTATTTTTACAAGAGGGAAAAACCTGTTCAAGGTTTACCAGCCTGTCATCCTATGTATTTTTCTATTGTTGATGAGTGATTCTCCTGGTTTCTATGGTTTCATAGTTCTGTCACTTGATGTGAACCATCCCTGGGAGGTTGTCTGTCTGTTTATCTTAACGGAAGGGCCCCATAAACTGAGTTAAGCAAACAGCAAAACAAGTTTAAATATTGGTGGTTGTTTTTTCACTTTCCGAGGGTAGTTACCTAAAATCTGTATAACCTACATCAGCCATTCTCAAGGGGAGGCAAATGACCGCCTGGCACATTTGAAGGGGGCCACAGACTGGAAACAGGTCTTCACACCATCTTATAAAGCTTGTTATGCAGCTTACACAACCCTGATTCAGCTTATATTTCTTTCATATTATGTTTATGCGCATGGTCAAAACAAGGTTGAGAATGGCTTGTCTAGATAGCAAGATTTTGTAATGAAGATCTACAAAACAGCCCCACATGTCTCATCTGCTGGGGCCCCTCAGAACACAGAGCTGCTCTGACTTAGCATCTAACTGTTCTGCCCACCAAATACTCATTCGCTTCAATATCAAAATAATACGTACAGTGCCCATCGCGAAGGCCACCATAGTGGTTGGACACAGCAATGAGGTCATATTTGTACACTGCAGGATCAGTGTCTTTTCGTGGCTTGATGATAAAATCAGAAAAATCAAGGCCCCTGTGGAATAGAGATTACAATATCATCACTCTTCCTAACTGTATTTTTAGTGGCTAAGAATAATCCTATCCCAGTAATGTTTTCCAGATCTTTGTAGCCGAGATTGTACCCATCTCAATATGTATCTCAGGGTTACAACTAACATTTGGGCTTTAATGTTACACTTTCCCCAAGTGTTTCTCACATGTTCTCTCTCTCTAAACCTTCTAGCCATCTTGCAATGTAGACCAGTTAGTTCTGGATTTCTGCTCAAGCTCTTCAATATCCTACAACAGGACAATGCACTTTGTGTACTCATAAATCTCCTTTTAGAGTACTCCACTTTAGTGTTTAACTCTACAGCCAACAAAGTCCTCTCTCTTCGCAGTAATCAATGCAGGGGCTTGGCCCAGCCTGGACAACGTGATGCCAGGTAAATCCATAATGAGGTTACGAGGAAGAGAAAATCAGTTAGATACTCTGGGCAGAGAGAGTCCCTGGAGAGTTAAGCAGGACAAGAGACTAAGTTCAAAGTATACCAACTCAGATATATCAGCAGCATTTCATGACAGTTGCAGGAGAGGCTGTGTTTCCAATATACACCCGAGCAAAGGATGCAGACACTGGGTAATGTTTGGACCTATCTTTATAATTCTGAAAGTGTAATGAACAAATCTATTGGTCCACAGAACATATCCTCCAAACATCCCAGTGGCTCAAGCCTCCCTTCCTCAGCTGTCACGTGCCACTTTGCTGCCTGACTACCAATGTCTACCCATCTGGTCTCTTGGCTTACCGGATAGGGAACTCCACAAGGGTGTCAAGTTTCTCCCGGGAGAATTTGGTATAGGAGAACCGCTTGAGGTGAATAATCAGGATCTCTGGCAAGGACCATAAGTCCAGTTTCTTGGTGGCCAACTGGTGTTTCTTGCAGGTTGGGCAGTACCTGGAAAAGAGGAAACAGCTGTGAGCATCCTCCATCAGGACTAGCAGTTAACCAACGTTTGATCTTCAGGAGGAATTATGAGCCAGGTCGTAGAGGGAAGGGACTACAACATAGGAGAAGAAAAGAAATCAGGATGAACTGGATTGGGGTGAGAACACATGGCCCTGAGGTGATTGTCCTTTCTGTACCAGGTTAAGACATTAATCTTCTACCAGATGTTTAACAGGATAGAAACAACCAGTACAGTGGTGCCTCACACAACGATGCTAATTGGTTCCAAAAAAATCAACGTTATGTGAAACATCGTTCTGTGAAACACCATTTCCCATAGGAATGCACTGAAAACCGGTTAATCCGTTCCAATTGGAACGGATTGCCGTCCTTGAGCGAAAATCCCCATAGGAAACATCATTGAGTTAAACAATGTTTCCTCCATTCAAATGTATTGAAGCCGACTCAATGCATTTGAATGGCATTCCGATGTCTCTTTTCCCTCATTTAAAAGTGCCTTAAACTGTTTGAAACCTGTTTTAAATGCTTGGCATCGATAGTCCAGCTTGTGAAACGTATGCAAACTTAATTTGGTGGTGTTCTGAGTCGTCGTTAGTTTTTGGTGATTTTTTGTTTTCTCCATTGAAAGCCATTAGACAGACCATTCAATGGCTACAAGAGACTAAGTTCAAAGTATACCAACTCAGATATATCAGCAGCATTTCATGACAGTTGCAGGAGAGGCTGTGTTTCCAATATACACCCGAGCAAAGGATGCAGACCCTGGGTAATGTTTGGACCTATCTTTATGATTCTGAAAGTGTAATGAACAAATCTATTGGTCCACAGAACATATCCTCCAAACATCCCAGTGGCTCAAGCCTCCCTTCCTCAGCTGTCACGTGCCACTTTGCTGCCTGACTACCAATGTCTACCCATCTGGTCTCTTGGCTTACCGGATAGGGAACTCCACAAGGGTGTCAAGTTTCTCCCGGGAGAATTTGGTATAGGAGAACCGCTTGAGGTGAATAATCAGGATCTCTGGCAAGGACCATAAGTCCAGTTTCTTGGTGGCCAACTGGTGTTTCTTGCAGGTTGGGCAGTACCTGGAAAAGAGGAAACAGCTGTGAGCATCCTCCATCAGGACTAGCAGTTAACCAACGTTTGATCTTCAGGAGGAATTATGAGCCAGGTCGTAGAGGGAAGGGACTACAACATAGGAGAAGAAAAGAAATCAGGATGAACTGGATTGGGGTGAGAACACATGGCCCTGAGGTGATTGTCCTTTCTGTACCAGGTTAAGACATTAATCTTCTACCAGATGTTTAACAGGATAGAAACAACCAGTATTTCAAATACCAGCATTATGCCAACAGATCGCCCTTATGATACGCTACCCATGAGAGGAGGGGCAGTTTTATATGACATACATGTGTTTTTTTTATAATTTTTCCTTTATTGCTTTTAACATTCAGATGTATTTACTCTTTCGAAACACCTTGCACCTTTTCTAGAAAAGAGTATCCTATACTAGTGCCACTGAGAATCATAAAAATGCCACTCTGCAGTTCAAAATAAACCACAGTATGTTCCATGCTGTCAAATCACATTTGATTTGACAAATGACCTTTTCAAGGTATGCAAGATATTTGAGGCATAGATTTATCGGTGCCACAATCCAGTGAGTTTCTATGGTTGAACAGGGATTTGAACCCAGCCCTCCTCAGTCCTAGTCCATCCATCTATCCACTGCACCAAACACGAAGTCAAAAAGAACAGAAGATCCCAAGGATCCCTGAAAAGTCTGCATTGGTGGGCTGGTGTCTTTATTATCCACCAGCATGCCCCCCCCCAAGTCCACCTATAGCTTCTGCCCACCACCTTTGCATTTTCCTACTTTCAAACTGAAAGCCAAGTTTTGCTCCATCAGACTACAAACAAGAGTTCTGCTCACAAATCAGAAGAATTGGTCCTTCCAAATGAGACATAAAAGTGGCTGTTTGGGCAATGAACAAAAACAGGCGTCGGCAGGCTTGCATCAACCTGCTTTACGACGGTCGCCTGCCAAAAGACTGCCTTTCTCAGAGCAGAGGTTCGTATAGCAGCTTCCCTTCACTCTGACTGCAGCCCCTGTGGAAGCAGTCACCTCCGAGCTCTCACCAAGGGTTTTCGTCCTCCAGGGTCTCCACTGTCGTGAACAGTTCGATGCACTCCTGGAGCCGGACAGGGTTCTTCTTGAGCATGTAGCCCATGCAGTCGTGCTTGATGTAGCCCTAAGGAAGAGGCACACACCGCTTGAGAGGTTTTTCTCGGGGAAAGAAAGAGGAGAGAGAGGACTAATCAGGAGACAGAAAAGCCTTGCAAACGCACCTCGGCTTCTCCCTCGTTGTAGTAGCGCTTCTTCATTTCAGAGTCCCAGTCCATAGCAATATACGGTTGAGCTGAGCAAAAGAAGAGAACGCCGAGGTTAGCGATGCGGAAACGTTGAGCCGTCAGGGCGCCGAGTGTGAAGTGGTCCATCAGAATGCACAAGCGCTATTGTGAGGGAGGGAGGGAGGAACGACAGCCCCCGCCTGACCCTTCCCCTCCTACCGCACAAAGGTATTTTTAGGGTCCAGGTAGCATTCGTCTTTCTCCACGACACAAGAGACCCTGCTTTCAACTCTTAAGGTGAGGCAGCAGCTGCTTTTGTGGGTCATTTGCAAAACATTCCAGGGCTGGAAGGGCTCTGAACAAATACAATCTGATGGCTCTTTAAAAAGGGGGACCCTTCATATATCCCAGACATTTACTGACGAATCCCCACCACAGTGCTTCACAAGCAAAGACACCAAACAGACAGGTGTCTCCAGATCAGAGGAGTCACAAAACTACAAAAAGGAAGGAGAGCTCACACAGTCAATGTGACTGTGGGTAGACAAAAAGTTCTCTAGGCACAGACAGGAATTAAACCCCAGAAAAAAAATAATAACAGCAACATTGTCTGTCCACCTAGTCTCCTTATTAGCAATTTCCTCTGGTCACAGATCAAACAAGGAGCAATGCTCCTATCTTGTCTGCGGCTTCATGCCCACCTACCCAGTGCTCTTGCTAGGCCCACCTCTGCGACAGGCACGTAGCAAGAAGCACAGGAGATGCTAAGGATATAACCGAGGAGCCACCGTAAGTCCATGTGATACAGCAGAAACAAACACAAGTAGTACTCAATGTAGCAATTGTAATGCATACTGCGCTTGCTTTTTTTAAAAAGGCATTCCAAAAATGTCCTCTCTCCCAGTCTCTCTGCACCCGTTGGCCATAACGCTGAAAGATAAGACTGGCTTTACTGCCTAGGGAATATGTTTGAGTAGAAAGTTCCTGAGCTGATAAACATGTGTTTTTTAAAAAAAAAACTGGAAAATTCATGGGAAAGGATGGAAAAATCCATTCGGAGGGCTCAGGCTATAGCAGCCCCTACAGCAGCCATTCTCAACAGGGACCATATCCTGTGCACACACACCCCGCCCTACAGCAGCCATTCTCAACAGGGGCCATATCCTGTGCCCCACCCACCCTAGGAGGCCCTGGCACATTTGAAGGGGGCCACAGACTGGAAACAATTCTTCATGCACCACCTTATAAGGTTCGCTATGTGACTTATACAATCCTGATTTGGCCTATAGTTCTTTCATATTGTGTATATGGCCGTGGCATATGTTAGAGGAGTAACTGCAGTGTCTGAGAGAATTCTGCTTGCCCAAGGGGGTAACATGTGCCCCCACACCAGGACCACCACAGTGCCCGCCAATAGTTGTTTTTCTTTTCTTTTGACAAAACTCCCATTTCTGCTCCAGGAGACATGGTTTGGGCACCCCAAATTTAAAAAAAAAAAAACTGAACTAGATGTGCACATCTAGGGTTAGGGCTAGCGAACTAGATTCCCTAACCCTTGCCTAGAGACAGGAGGGACTCCTGCGACAGACTTTTGTGACATCTATACCATTCCTCGAGGTTAAATTGATTTTCATTTCTCCAATTCCTTGCCATAATTATCCTTGCTGCCGTAATCATTATTACTATTAAATTCTTATTTTCATTCACCAGTTGGTCTTTACTCATATTTAATAAAGCTGTTATTATCAATGATAAACTGACATGTGATATGAAAATAAGTAGGGGCCAAACAAAACATAATAACTTTAAGAAAATATGGAATGTATTTTTAGAGCATGTATTTCGGAGAGGGAGGGGGTGTACACCGAATAAAGAAACAATGAAATTTTGGAAGGAAAATGGATGGAATGAAGTGTAATGCTGGTCCTGAGGGTGATGGGTGCACTGTCTTGTTTTGTATTTTATAGTTTTTCTTTTCTGTAGTAGTAGGTGTATTTTGTATTTTTTATTATTAAAATAAAATTAAAAAAAAAAGACTTTTGTGACATCGAAGACAACCCTCTTAAGGCCAGTGACTCACAGTTGAAGGAGACGGCGTTGCCCTCATCCTGGCCTGCCATTCGGTCGCTGGTCCCGTTAGAATTGACGGGCTGGAGGGTGAAGAGCAGCTTCCGCCGTTTCTGTGGCAGGCGGCATTTGCGTTTGGCTTGGTTGGCTGTCGGAGAGCTGGGGCTACCAGAAGGGGTGGTGTGGGGAGACTGGGCTGGCTGATGGGAGGCTGGGTTGGGGCCGCGCTTGACCTCCACCCTGGCGGCACCTTCCTCTCCCACTGATGCATCCGAGGGGTTTTCTTCAATCTCTGAGCTGGGCTCCTGGCTAGTCGAGCCTTCTGCCGTAGTTTCCTCCTCCTCTTCTTCTTCTTCCTCCTCCTCTTCCTCCCCTATACATGGAGGAGGAAAGAGAGTAGAAAGAATCAGAAGACAAATTCTCCACAGAGCCCCTCCCGCCCCACAAGACTTTTGCCCTCTTGTCAACCACGCTTACCTTCACTCAGGCCATTGTGCTTCTTGCTGTAGAGATCTTCCTCCTCTTCACTCTGATCCTGCTCTTCCTCTTCCTCCTCAGAGTCTGGCCGTGTCACGTAACGGCTGTAAAAGAGATGGGGGTGGGGTGCCACACCCTTAGCTTTGGGGCTGTGAGAGTGTGCACTCCCTTCTGGCAGCACTGCACAGAACGGGACGTGACAGAGGAGGCCGGATTCATTGGGAGATCTTAAAACCCACTGATGCCTGCATCAAATTCAGTTTGCATTGCACAGAAGGATTTGGTCCACAGTTTGGTCCCTGCAGGGCTTTAAGAGCTTTGGGTGAAGTACTTCTGCGTAAGGGCTAGGGTTCAGCGTTTTCCTAACTCTGCACCAAATGATCTGGGGACTGGTAACAGGAACCGCCTTTGTTTGGGGACTGTCAGGGCATGCCTCTGGCATCCGGCACTTCACCGTTAGCTGCCTGCCTTGGTGATCCCAAAGCTGCGGTGCTAGTGAGCAGCACCCAAGATAAGCTTGGCACAGCGTGCTCCAGGTGGGGTGGCTAAGAATTCCAGGGAACAGGAGTCACTCACGAGAGCCGATGCAAGAGGAGCTGGTATAGGGCATCCCAGGAGAGCAGGTCCCGTGGCACAGATACCAGGAGTGGGTGACCAAAGAGCACCACCCCATAGTAAGTGTCACTGTAGTCCCGACCCTGGGTGCGCTCCCGAAGGTACACAGGCAGCACCACAGCATCTGCAGTGGAAGGATCCTCCAGGGTAGACACAGACACTTCATATCTGGAGACAGAAGAGAGACATTTTATTCAAGAAAGAAGGGAGCAAGTGCCTTCTTCACGTTAGGCCTAAATGTCTTTTAAACGTGCATGAGCTTTCTTTCATCCGAACAGATTCCTGAGAAGTACAGAAAAACATGGTGTTCAGACTTACAGAGACAGTACTGTAGTGTAAAAGACAGACACCAGAAAGACAATAAAATTTAGAGGCAAACATGATCCTCAGCAAGCACAGACAATGGCAGCATCACAGTCACACGGAAAGGAACAGTATGTATTGATTGAAAAGCCTGGCTGAACCCCCTCCAAGAACTTCAAAAGGCAGGGGATTCCAAAGTAGGGTCATTCTCCACACCCAAAGGTGGGACACACATGTATGAGATGGCAGGCACCACCAGACCTCAAATACACATGCCTGCATGTGCAGCTAAAGTTTAACATTCTAGCTGATTCATTTAAGTCATCTTTCTCTAACCAGGTGGTGCAGTAAAACTCCCACTATCCCCAGGTGTGGTAGACAGGGATGATGCAAAACATAGCAGAAATCAACTGGAGTGCGGATGGGGTGGTGGTGGTGGTCAAATTAACTATTTCATGGAATGCAAGGAACAGTCAAATCCCTCCCTTAGAAATGCTGTTCTCAGACATTAAGTCTTTCTGCTGATTTCTCAATATCACTGTAGGGGTTACTTTAGAACAGGCTGAACAAATTTCCAAATCCTCATAGGTCATTTTCGCCTTCCTGAAATCCTGGATATTTGAGCTGTAATTCCAGTTGTTCCTCATCACTGTCTGGCAAGGAGCAACGTGGTGTACACAAAAATTTGGAGGGCCATGTGTTCCCCACCCCTTTACCAGACCTCAAATCTTTTCTTAGAGATCTTGTTATGGTATCACAGCCTCTTCCAGCCAGGTGCCCTCCAAGTATGCTGGATTACAGTTTCCATCATTCACGGGGGGGGGGGGAGAGCAGGTAGCTGCAGTCCTAACAAATACAGACCACCCCAGGCAAGGTATGGTAGCTTTCTCCTCTGTCACTATGCCCATTATGGTCTCTGCACCCAGACTCACATAAAGATGTCATCTCGATCCAAGATGCAGCTGAGCGATTCTTCCATCTGGTAGATCTTGTAGAAGCGGTGACTAAAAACATCAGCCACCATCATCTGGGAAAGGAGGAAATAAAACATTACAGGGACTTAGAAGATGCTCCTACAATTCATGGAATGGGATGCAACCTGTTGGCCAGTTTCCGCTCCAGGCAAACTTACCCGTTCTGGAGGCACTTCTGTGTGCTTGGACAAGGCCCGGCAGAGATCAAGCACTTTCCCAGCTTTTGAGACAATCAGTCTGTGCTGTAAAGAGGACCAAAAAAAGGAGGTACAAATCAGCCTGAAGCCTGCCTCAAAGAAAGCCAAATGTCCAAGCTAAACTGAAACCTCTCTGAGATGAAATCCTCTGGAATCAGTAATAATTGTCTTGGGAACAATCAGACAAGCCTCAGCCGACTATCTTGAGCCCAACTTCTGCAGTCCAAAGAGAACTACTAGGCTTGTCCAGCCATCACTTTTACATTCATTTTTGTATCCTCTGCCGCATCATAACTAGAAAGAATGCAGAATCCCCACAATTACCTGATAGAGTCTTTCTCTATCTTGCTCTGCCTTGCCTTCTCAGCCACCTGAGAGCAGCTGTCCAGGTTTCCAAAATGGCTGTCCTTCCCCCACCCTTCCCAGACTGTGAGGCCCATCATGTGCTCCCCTCAAATGCCACTGCTTGGTCCTGGGGCTTGAGGTACAACACCATGCCTTCCTCATCCGCCCGAGGCTCCTTTTCCCGGAAGGCTTTCCTCTACCTGTTCAGGTTTCCTGCCAGGGTCCATGGATACAAAGAAAACTTCCATCACCCGGTCCTTGCTGATTGGTAAGGGGGCGCTGAGGTAGCAGAAGGGGTCAAAGGTTACAGAAACTTTGCCACATTCGGGGCACACCAGTGTTGACTTGAAGAGCCCATGGAAGATGTCCACAATGATGGAGTTGTTGCGGTGTTTGTGGTTGCGCCACGCTTCTTCTGCTACTTCCTGGAGGGGGGGGGAAGGATGGAATGAAGGGGAGTCTCTCCCTCTCTCTCCCTCTCTCTCTCATTCTCCTCCTCCATTTCCCACATGCTGCAACCAAAGGGGCCCCAGCATCTGCATACCCCCCACAAGCAGGCCTGGCCCAATAGAAGGAACTTTTCGGCATTGAAATCAGCAGCTGAAACGTTTGAAGCAACATTTCTTCAAAGTGGAGAGGCATCCTTCAGCTCCCCAGATGAACAGCCCTCTCCCCTTCCCTCCCTTCTTTGTCTTTCATGTTGTAAAAGCCCAGGGGCAACTGATGATTCAACCTGCTCTCTGCCAGCTGCTGCAGCACAGAAAGATGGGACGTAAGGTCTCTGTCAGTTATCATGTATTGCTTGTGGCAGAAAGCTTCAGAAATACATGAATATTATATGATGAACATAAAACACTGGTGGTTCCCTAAAGGGTGCGAGAATCCCTGGATGCACCATTACGTTGTCTCATTTTCTTCCTACCTGTCAATTAACATTAAGAAACTGATCATCCAGTGGATGCCTCCCTTTCCTTCTAGCTGTACACTACACTCTATGACAGGGCTAGGAATGGACGACCTTCAACATGTTAATCTCCCACAACCTGGTTAACATCAGCCATGCTGGGTGGGCCAAAATTAAAAAATCAGGAGAACCAGAACCAGACATGGGCAAAGCTACCTATAAAACCCTAGCCTTGCATAACCAGTAGTGATGCTAACTGGAGTATTTGGAGAGCTGCAGCCCAAAATACTTTGCTCATCTGGCACCAAGACCATTCTCCATTCCTGCTCTATAGACTATTCCAAGCAGCAGCTCCAAAATCCACCCATCCTTCACCAGCCGCCACCTCAGCATCTTACAACCTCAGCCTAGTGCATCCTTCCCTAAGTTGGTACCCCAACTGTTTTAGACTCCAGTTATCAACTCTCATTAGGTTTAGACTGCACAATCACTGGTCAAAAATCTAAAGGTCCAAAAGCACCCGGAATACACCCAAGTTTGAGACACTGGACTAGACACAAAGGAGAAGCAAAGGTTGCCCCATTAGTCACTCTACTGCCCCCCCCAATAAAATAGCACTAGGCGCTTGTGGGCCAAGCACGGGGAGTACACATACCCTTCCGCCCCTGATGTAAAACTGCTTTTCCACACAGATAGATTGCACTCTCTTCTATTTTCTATTAATTTTCTGTTTTCTCACCTCATCCGGCCGTCCTGCCGCATCCTTCAGCTCTATGTACTCTTTCTTCTTGACACGGTTGAGGTCCTCGTGTAACCCATCAAGCAGGAAGGACAGAAGCTCCTGGGAATCGTGCTGCTGGTAGCCAAGAAACTGGGAAGCAAAGTGGCCCACTTTGGTCTGCATGGAGATGGAACACAACATGGCATTTTTTAGCCCTGGCCACAGGAGAGGCAGCGGAGCAAAGCAAAGCAAAATTCACCTTGAATATACGGGGCACAATAGAACGATGGTGACCGGACCATATTTGCTTGATGAGGTCAGCGTAAGCCTCTGCAATTTCACCCTTCATGCCCAGGGGGTTGCTGAAGTTCAGCTCCTCTAGATAGCGATTGTTGAGGAAATACTCCGTCAGAGGGGGCACGTTGCTGAGACACTGAAAGAGAAGGCATATGGCTACCTTCACCTGGAGAAGCTACATTAACATGGCTAGAAGTATCCGCTTTACCACAATGAGATTGTGCTTCAGTGTGTATACACACACACAAACCATACATGGCATCCTCAGAACTCAACTCCCCCCGCCCCCACAGGTCTGTACCTTTTAAAGATGTGCAAATATGTAATGAAATCTCAAAAGCTGGGATGGGGTGACTCTGGATGTACCAGAATTTTCTGCAACAAGGTGACAAGAGTCTGAAGGATCTGTTCCACCTCTTCATGTAACCAAAATTAATTTTAGTGGAACAAGCGCTACACAAACAGATCTGTTATTTATGTACGGTGCAGAACGTTAAAGCACATAACGTGGGCTATAGTCTGATGGGTGTCCCTGAACACAAAGGAAAGGCGAGATTACACAGTCCCTCAATAGCACCTGGGTCAAAGCCCCAAAGTCTCCTCACCCCACCCTCCTGAGATGGAAGACCTTCTTTTCACTGACACATTATCGCATTCATTTTTATTATTTATTACTTGCCTTTCTCCCCAAGAAGACCCAAGGTAGCTTACAATATTAAAACACAGTACATGATTAAGCTATTAAAAAGCAATTAAACCTGCATCGTATTAAAACTAGTCTACAAAAACAAGTTTAAAACAACTTTTAAAAACACATTTTAAAAAGAAAAGAGATAGACACACTTTAAAAAAAAATCTCACAGGCAGCCAGTTACTGGGGGGAAATCTGCCTGAAAAGAATAGTCTCCGCCTCCTTGCAGGCAAAGACTACAAAGAGGGGGCCAGCTTGGGAGCAGCAACAGAGACGGCCCTCTCTTGCCCCCTCACCAAAGGCACCTGGGAGAGCGGCAGGACTGATAAGAGAGCAAACCCCACGGCCACCCGTAACCTAAAGACCTGTGCAGGCTCATCAAGGGAGAGCACATAACTTGAAACCAAGCTGTCTAGGGCTTTGTACTTCAAAACCAGCACTCTGGATTGAGCCTGGGAACAAACTGGCAGGCAGTGGAACTTTGAAACAAGGGCTACGTTTGCCCCAGCTAACAATCTGGCAGATGTTTCTGAACAGTTTCCAAGGGGAGCCCCACACAGAGGGATTCCAGTAAATGAGGTGTAAGCCCAGCATGTGTCACTGTGACCAGATCACACGTGACTGATTGCATTCACAGGGCTTGAAGGATGCAAGGTCATCCCACTCCATCTCCAAGCCAAAATCAGAATCATACATAAAACTCAAGTCATTTCATTTTGCTCTGACCTCTTCTAATGCTTCAACTGTTGCCAGTATTACAGATCAGCCCAATACAGTCCAAGCTGTATTCAACAGGGCTTGCTCTGAAGGATGTGTCCACAGGATTGTTGCCTTGGAATTTCAGCTCCCTTTAACTCGTGCATTCGTTTTTTCAAGGGCAAACCCAATTCCAGCCTATAATCTCTTAAGAGATGGCACCTAATTGTAGAAGAGGGACAGCCACTCCTTTTATTGTTGAGAACAGCACCAGCGGTAACCATTTCTTTTTCCCTTCCCGAAATGTTTTCTATTCAAAGTAGTCATTCTTAGGACTAGGTAGCTATTTAAGAAGTGGTATTGTTGTTTGTCCATTTCCTTCCCTTGTCACCCATCTTCCCTTGTGTGTCGTGTCTGTTATATCAAAAGCCTGCAAAAAAGAGAATTACCTAGCATTTTAATCTCTAGTGAATCTGGGCTTTTATGAGTGTGGCAGCACACAGATTCTGACCCATGGAGCACCATTTTCTAGGAAAAGCTCCTGAGCAACTCCCATCCATTGCAAAGAAGAATTCACACATACCATATTATTTTGTTCATTTTAATATTCCTGGGACACTCTGGTGACCAATACTTTCCAACGCAGCAGACAGAATCAGCCTAATTTATGACTGATGGTTCATTTTACTCATCCTTCCCTTACTTTTGGCAGCTAGTGGCCAAGAAAAAAAGTACATCAAGACCAGGGGTGAGGTGTGCCTTATCTTTGGTAACTTAAGCCGGGAATGAAACATTTTAGAACACAGTCCCCAGTTTATCACACACCAAACCAAAATCCAATTTGTCATCCACAGCTTAATGCCCATTCTGCTTCCACTAAGAAGTTCCAAAGCATTCTAGCAGGTAGCAAGCACTACAAGTTGATACACTACTGCCCACTTGTGGCCAGACATATAACTGCAACAGCAGCACATAACCTGCCTCAAGGAAAATGCTCTTGTTCTACCCCGTTCAAATCTCTTAACAGCAGAAATTCTGCATCCACAGATCAGCCCCACTTAATATAGGCCATGTTTGATACCTGCAAAGCAGAATTCATGAAGCAGGTGTTTCCCAGGTTGGTAAGGCCACAGACCCCTGGCTGGCCCTGGTAGAGTTCCTCATCTTCAAGGGAGTTCTTCCTAAAAGAGATAGGAAAAGGTTGACTGTGAATCAGAGGGTCCCAAATGGAAGGACAGGCCTGGCTCTCGATTGAAGCAGAGACCAAGCAGGAGGCAAACATCCCCCGCAAGGGCCCAAAGCAAAGCCAAAAGGAGCCTGGGCCAGAGTGAGATACTCACATGATATGTGGCCTTGAGCTAGGCCAGGTGCCATCTTTACTCCTAGTCTCCATGATTACCACCTAGCAGAAGTATGGGGTGGGGGGTGGGGGAATAGTGGAGGGCAAAGGGGACAAAATTGAAAGAAAACAGTAGGGTTAACTAGAGAGCAACTGGACAGTTGCCTGTGGCTACAAATGGCCCTCTCTTTGGCCAAAAGAAGGCATGGAAATAAAGCAAAGAAATATACAAAATGAATCATCCTCATGATGTGCTCCATGCCTATTTAGCTCAAAATACCCCCATTCTGGCTGGGGGGCGGGGACAGGCGTTTGTCTCCCACCCTTCTTACTCAAATACTTTCTACAACTCCCATCATTCCCAGCCAAGAAAAGGAGGAGCACCCAAGGCTGGCTGGGTGTGACGGAAGCTGCAACCCAACTCCTCTGGAAAGCACAAGGTGGAGGAATGCCAACGAAGCTGGCACGAGGACCTTTGGCCACCCGGATGACCAGGACGAACGACTACTTCCCATCGTGCCTCTCCCTGAGCCAGCCTGGCCAGCGCCAACTGCAATTGAACCACAGAACCTGCAGAGCAGCAGGCCTGCTGTTCCAAACTGAAGAGAGGGGTCAGAGATGGAGCTTGGGACCTTCTGAAGGCAAGACCACCTCCCAGCAATGGCTGTGTTACCTGCCCTGAACTGAGGCAGGCGTCCAGCACCGTCATCTGCAAGTTCCTCAGCCTCTCACAGGAGCCGTCGGCATTCTTCACCCAGAGCCTTGTCTCATCTTCCGGTGGAACGGAAAACTGGTGCCGTGCTACCTTCAACACTGTGTCTACGGAAGAGGAGTGGACAAGGGAGGCATTATTCCTCTTGTAAGAGAAGCCCCATTGCTACAAGGATCCTGAGCTTCATTTGAATTCTTTGCCTTTTATCTATTAAATTAGTTCTACCCCAGGTTAGGAACAACAAAAGCGCTATTAAAATAACTGCAGAAGAACTTCAAGAGAATTAAAATAAAGCAGAAGACAAAACCACAACCCAACCAAGCCACGGCATGGGGTCCTAGAAATGTTGCTCAACAGTTACATTTTAACTTGCCATCACAATGGGGCTCGTGTTGGCCCCAAAGGCCAACAGCTGGGGTGCCAAAGCAGAGAAGGCCCTTTCCTGTGTCTCCAAAGAACAGACTGATCCCAAGGGTGGGACAAAGAGGAAGGCCTCCTTGGAAAACTGCGATGCTTGGGCATGTGTACAGAGAAATCTCCTCTCCCTCAAGGCCCTTTCCAATTCAGTCTCAAATCCTCTTTGGATTCTTACCTATAGTGTCCATGCGGCTAAACTGGGCCACAACAGGGTTGTCCATGTCACTGTGCTGGCAGAGGTACAATTCCACCAGGTAAACCTCCACCTTCTGCATGCTAGGAAGGTCCACCACCTGAGAAAGAAGCATGTTTGATCAGAAGCATCACCCCAGCCAGAGACCGAAGGGCACTTGTCTTCTGTTAAATGTGCACAAGACTGTGGTCCCTAATGTCTGTTCTTTAGGAAAAGGAAATTAAGGTGAGAAGGAAAGGGAGCTGGAGCACTGACAAGAAATTAGCAGCGTGCTTGTTACTGTCAGGGGCTGCACTCCAGAGCATTTAAGGCTGTAGGAGCCATGAGATGGGAAATCCTGAGTTAAAGTCTCCAATTAACCACAATTTCAATAGGCCTGTTACATTTTTCTTGGGACCCTTGCTCTTCTTCCCCATCTGGATGTGAGAGTCACTGCCTTTTGGGCCTTCCGTTGTATTCTGAGAGAATGTATCTGAAGGCCTTGGAAAGCATTACAGTAGCCTAAGCCAATAGCTAAGTCATTCACTTATAAGAAAGAGCAAAGCAGCTAATATCACTGCCATTTCAAGGAGAAGGACCAGCAGCCTACCCCTCACCTCATCAGGCTTGGTTCTTGAGATGTAGCCTAATGATAAACTAGCCTATGGGACACACTAGCAAGGGCCACTCATTATGAAGGCTGGAACACAGAGCGAGAGAGCACACTTCTGCTCCAAAAGTAACCTACAAGATGCCTGTCAGCAGGAAGCCCAGCCGTCAACTCTCAGGTGCTAAGGGCTGCTATGGATCATACAGTCAATGGAGCTTGTTGGCTGTAAGAACCGAAAATGGAAACTGCTCCTGTATACAGGAGACAAGAAAAACCAGCGGGGACACTAGTGGTATAGAACAGAGACGGAAAAGGCCCGGCAGTCCAGATAAGGTTTGACTCTAACTCTCATCATCCTTCCCCACTGGCAATGCTATCCAAGGCTTTCATTTCATCGCGGTGCAAACCTTAACCTGGTTTCCTCTAGATATGTCAGACCACAACTCCCATCATACCCAGGCGGCATGATCATTCTTCTCTCCCTTCCTTGACCATGTAGCCTAGGGATTATGATAGTTCTGGTCCGACGCATCCAGAGGAACCCAAGTTGAGAAGACTGTGGTAGAGTATGAATGAATGGTGGAAACTGGCATTTATGTAACATGTTAACACACACATAGGGTATACGACCACCAAGTTTGATGGGTGAAACTGGAGGACAAGAAGAAAAGACAAGAGAACAGTCACTGTTCCTCCACATCTTTCACCTCTGATGCTCTGCTGCCACGACTGCCCAATACAAGCTTCACGGCAACAACCTGGGTGAAACAGTGTGGCAGGATCCTTATCCCTTTCCATTTCTCAGTAGCACAGTTCCAAGGACATCCTACACCTCTTAAGCAGCAGACTCCTCACCTTGCGCTCGATGGCTGGCTGGTCATGCTCAATGCCATACCAGCTCACTAGCTTGTTCCACACCTCCTCTGGCACGAGTATGTATTCCTCCTGCTCCACCAGCCGGTCCTTCAACCGGCAGGACTCCAGATCTGGCAGAAGGAAAAGAGATTGAAATGAAAAAGGACCCACAACCTCCAAGAAGCCGGGGACCTGCAGAGGAGCCACTGGCCATTGTGTGACTGCTACCGTCTCTCCTCATTTTTTTCTCCACTGCCAAATGGTGCCACTGAATATCTGTGGCTGTGTTGCTACAAGAACATTCATAGGTGCATACACACACACCCTTACTCCTTTCCGGAAGGAAAAGAGATACTCCATCCTACACACTAGCAGAACTTCATGGTGCAGGCGGGCATTCCTGCATACTATCTTTTATCAGTAGAATTCTCTGCAGCAGAACAGAAAACCTGTTTCCCCACCTCTGACACATAGCTGGCCACATGAGACAGCAGTGGCATCAAGGTCCCGGTTCTAGTGTGGTACAGAGAGCTTAGTGTCAGTCTAGGACAGAAGAGGTGCAGTTTCAGGATAGAAGAGGTGCAGTTTCAAATCTCTGCACAGGCATGAAGCTCACTCCTAGTCCATCCAGCTTCACAGGCTAGCATGGGGACCAATGTATGCTTAGCTTCTTGGAGAAAAGATAAAATAAAAACCAAAGGGATAACAAGTTGCTTCTCATACTCTAACCACCTCAGAGACTTAACTGAAGGAATAAGGGAGAAATCCTCAATGTAACAAAAAGAGCCAAGGAAGCAGTACCTTCAAAGAGCTCAGCATTGTTGATCCGTCCAGGGAAGGTGCTGGAATTCTGGTCTCCGGATTCTACGTAGGCTTTCCACTGCTTGTACCAGTGATTTTCCAACAAATACCTGGGCAACAAAGCAAGAAGATCAAATCCAAGACTTGCATTACTCTGTAATGCAGCATCCAAACAGGAGCAATGTAGATTTTTCTCTCCACCCTATACCTCAAATGGTCCTCTTATTTCAGGAAAACCAAGGTCTTGATACTAAACACTAGTTGTGGTTTAAAGAATTTTCTTATGTTGGTGGAAAGGCTGCTGGCATAATTTGGGTCATAAAGGTGGTGACATCATCACCAAGTAATTTCTTAGAAATTAACATTTCTGACATCTTTCTCAAATCACCAGAGGCTCCCATCTAAGCTTTTTCATCACTGAGAAGACATGAGAGCATCAGGATAGGAGGAAGTCTATAACTACCAAAAATCACCACTGGTGGGATGACTTTAAAACTGACAACAATTTTTAGCAAGACTTCCCCCTCCTTTCCCACAGCTCCCAAGGCTTCCTGATAATGAAAGGTATTATACAGAAGCCTTGAAAGAAAAGTCTGAAGTGTTTAATTTCTGAGGGGGGGGAGAGAAATCACTGTTTCCAGTAACATAACCAGCCTCATGTGGTGTAAGTATTCCAACAGCATTTCCTGCTATTTTGGATGTCTACGAACACATTTGTGAAAGGTTCTTACCCAGTACGCACTGTGCTATTTGCCAAAGCCACATGCCTAGGCAAAACTTTTTTCCATCTTCCTACCATTAGTGCTCTAGTGCCTAGAAGCTGGCAAGAGAAGAATCAACGTAGGGATGATGGTACCCTTCTTCCACTCAGGATAGGGGATCTGAGTAAGAAGCAGATCTCTTTATACTGAGAGGGGCAAGTGGTGCTGAGTGCCCTCCATTAATCCCTTTTGTCTTTTCTATTGTGAGTTCAACATGAGCAAGTGATCTTTCCTGAGGGCTCTTAATATAAACTGTTTGACACATTTTACGTTGTCAGTCACCATTTGATAGTATTGACCTACTGATGGATGATAATCTTCAATTTCTTGAAATGTTTTACATTAATTGTAACACTGCAATGTTATAGTTATGTTACAGTTGTACTAATTGATACAGTATTTACTTATCGGGTCCCTTTAAAGAGAAAGGTGGGGTAAAAATATTTTGAATAAATAAATAACTTGTTCCTGTGAAGCACTTCAAACCCAATACATTGTGGAAGACGCCATATATGAATCAACTGACACAAAGGAGGTGACCCACAGAAAGGACACCTCCATTCTATATTCCTAGTGGCTTGCTCTGAGAGATGACACCACAGCCTGATCAGCTTAGGCCCTTGTGAGCTGTAGGAAGCACCTCAGAAGACTGTGAACAGGAACAAGCAGTCTGTGCAGGCTACTATCACCTTGAAACCAGGCACACGGAAGGGCAAAGAGCAACCTGACAGCAGCAACAGAGGCCTCTGCCTGTCCCTCCCGCCTCTGACAAAATGCTACAGGCATTTTAATAAGCTTTGTGATAAATAATACACACCATTATGTAAACTAAACCAAAGAACTTCAAATGGCATATACTGCATGAGACTGGCTGCATTCTTCCTTCTCAGTCACTAGCATGCCACAAATGACTTACATTGATATGCAAAAGCCAGAATTGCTTTGGGAATTTACACCAGTGTAAATACAACTGAGTCATCTGTGGTAGTGAATTTTCTGTGATTACCAAGATGCTGCTTGCATTCCTGTTTGCATGCCAGTGCTGCGGCTCATCATGTGAGCAGGAATAGGAGCAGCAATTCCCTGCTCACAATGATTAGCAGCAAACTGATGCCACAACATTACACCATCACACTTATATCAGCATAAATCCCCAACAGAACCTCTAGAACCTTAGAATTATGCATGCTTCTGGGTCGGACACAACTCTTCAGCCTACTTGAGGTGTCTGCAGAATGAAAAAGCCCACTAGATTTAATATTCTGTTGCTTCCTCTTGTTTCGTTCATGATTTCAGGGCCGTCTGCTAGCAGATTCAGTCCCATGTTTGACTACAGAAAGCCCAAATTTGTTCCCAACCAAGAGAAACCATAGGAAGGAACGTTCTCCTGAACATCCCACCATAACACCAGATCAGTCCTTGGGATGCAAAAGTCAGGAAAGGTAGGTCAAACCAGTTCTGCGTCCTGATAAGCTGTGACAAAGGAACTACTGTCATTCATTTACTGACTCCTGTGTGTGCCTCTTTCCAACAACTTAAGAAAAAAAAACATGACCCATGATAAGGGAGGACAGGAATGAAACTGGGAGCCAAAAAGGAATCTGTGCAATCCATAACTGCAACAGAAATGATCTTCATCACACAGGGTGAGAAGCAGAGCTGAGCCTATATGGAATGACAAGAAAAAGAGAAGATGTACAAAAAAGTGGACAGAAGCCTGTGGACCAGTGAGGTGTAGTGGACAGTTTGGACTATAAATCAAGAGACCTGGGTTCGAATCTCCACTTAGCCATGGAAATTTACTGGGGACTGGCAATGGTAAACCACTCTCTAAACATCTCATACACCTTGAAAACCCTGTGAAGGTAACATAAGAACAAAAGAGGCTGGGAAGTACAGTGAATAATTTGGCTATTAATTAACCCCTCTATAGAACTACTCAACATACAACAAGAACTGCTATCTCCTATTTCATTTAGGCTGCAATCTGATGTGTATTTATTTGAGATGAAGACCTGAACCTAAAAATGACCAACCACCATGCAAAAGATCACACTGGATACCTAACCAAAAGCTTGTAAGACTAAGAATACAAGGACAGTAGTTCCTTCCTGCACTGCTGCTTTTCTGCCACCTGAACCCAAGCACACCTGCAAGGTCTTCTGCTGCAGATCCAAGCAGTCAATGCATGGAAAGAACACTTTCTTTAAGTTCCGCTACCTAAGGGTGGGTGGGTTTAAACAACTGGGTAGATGGAGTATCCTCAGAAAACAGGAAGTCTCAGCCTGATCACAAGAGTAAAACCTAAACTCATACCTCAGGCAAAAAAGCCAACACAAAAAGCAGGTAGGACACCCAGGCAAAATTGATAAAACAGAAGTGCTGGCAACATGTGGTTTTGGCACTGAGATAAGACAGCTGAGAAAGTGAAACGAAATTGCCTAGCCCAGAGGGACAGACGCCCAGCCCTGCCCTCAAAGAACTGAAAACTACTACTGTGGTAACACAGGCATAGCACATCCAGGATGAGTCACTTTTCTCAAAAATGTAAGTTTCCATTCAAAGGAGAACCAGGGCTCCAATATCTTTATAATAGGTGGAGAAGAGTCAAAAACTCTCTCCAACACTTACCCAGCAAAAGCTGCAATTACAACATTTCTGTGGGATAGGCAATAAGACCACATAAAAATGCCAGGCTGGAGACAGAGAAGAGTGATCAAAACCAACTCACCCCAGAGAAGAAAGGCTAGCTTCCATTAAGGAAATAATTGTTTTCTTTGTCAAGCCAGGTTTCACTTTAGAGAGATACTGTATTGGGACAATGCCAAATTTGGTACACAGGTTTTGGTGAGATCTTCAAGGTAGCAAAGTCTTTATTTTAAAAGTAACTAGTACACAATCTGAATGTGTGTCATGCAGAAAATAGTTCATATCTCTACAATGAGCAATCTATTAACAGAAGGGGATGGAAGTACTAACAATTTGTAAATCTACCAATACTGAAAGTGTATAATATATCCAGCTTCATACAAACCAGAGCACAGAGTGCTGTCCTCTGAAGATGCCGGCCACAGAGCCCGGCGAAACGTTAGGAAGAACAACCTTCAGGACACGGCCAAAGAGCCCGAAAAACCCACAACAACCATTAGATCCCAGTAGATAAATATGTGCAGGATGGCAGCCACCCAATCCCATTCTTGGCTTACTTCGGAGTTAAGTCCCACTGAGCGCAACAGAATAAAAGCACTGGCCAATGAATCCCTCAAAAGTGCATGTCTGCTTTTTTTGTTTCCGTTATTCTGTGAAGTAGACCTGCCTTAACAATTCTTACACGAGAGGTGCAATGCCTGTTTGCCTATAAGCAATGAATGGCAGGAGCGACCCGGGATAATTAATACCGTATTAACCAAAGTGTGCCGGGGCTGCTCAGCGTGGGCCGCCTCCTTATATTCCCTTGACAGTTTGTCTCCCGGATCCCCATCGCGGCAGAGCAGAGACGGGGAAAGGCGAATCCCTTTCCCATTTGTCCTTGCAGTATAAATTCGGGGAAGAGGGAGTCTAATTCGGAATTACGATGGGTTTGTACGGGTCTCTGCGAGGGAGACAGTTATGGGGTCCCTCCCCATAACTGTGCCCCAGAGGTACAAAAAGGACCTCCCCTTCCTTACAGCCGGCAGCCTCCGTCCCAGTTGCCGCGACCCCGAGAGCGGCCCCCCCCCCCGCCCCCAAACCCCCCCCCTTTCCCCCCCCCCCCCCCCCCCGCCCCTGCCCCCGCGCCCCCTGCCGCTTCTGGGCCTCCAGCCCCGGCAACCCCTGCTGCTGCTGCTGCTGTTGCTGCTCCGCCGCCGCCATCGCCCACCCCCGGCTCCTTCGCCCCACTGCGAGCCCGGAAACGAGAAGCGGAGACACCTTATTTCCCCACTCCCGGCTCTCTGGCCGTCCCGCCTTCTCGCTTCCGCCCCGCCATCATAGGTGTGGCAAGGCACGGGGGAGAGGCCAAAGGAGCACCATGTCGAGTGTGGCACTCGGCCTCCGGCGCGGCTAACGGTTCGTCGGCGGCGCGGGAAGCTGAAACGTTAATTCTGTACGAATGCCGTCCTGGATGCCTATGGCGTGTTAATTTTAGGGAGAGAAAAAAAGGCTCGTAAAATGATGGTGCCTTGCCTTATAGGCTAACGTAAAAGGGTTAAAAACAGTGAGGCGTTGTCCGCTCTTTAGAAAGTTTCGCATGATGGAAGCGGAACGTTAACCGGCAAGTTGCGCGTTCTTTGAGGCTGGTGCCGCCATATTTACTAAGGGTGCAATCTGACTGTTTGTTTAAAACAGCCGCCTTGGTGGTACTGGCGGAAGTTGGGGCCTCATTGCTAAGGCGGCAGTCATAGAGACGCCATTTTGGGAGGGGCGGGAGTCGCCCGGTTGTAAATCTGTGTTTATGCAAATTTAGAAGCAGAGAAGGCTATTTTAATGTACTGTATACTGAAAAAAGTCACCCGCTCCCTCTTCAAAATAGGTTTTGAAGGCGTCTTTGAACAAAGTAGTTCTGATGAATCAAGGTTATGACCATGACAATCCTGAACAAAATAAAAATAAACGTTGACATTTTTCTTTTCCCCCCTTGTTCTTTGAAGTGGAACAAAGACACCAAGTGCAATGCATAAGGCGTCTTTGAACAAAGTAGTTCTGATGAATCAAGGTTATGACCATGACAATCCTGAACAAAATAAAAATAAACGTTGACATTTTTCTTTTTTTCCTTGTTCTAGGAAGTGGATCAAAGACACCAAGTGCAATGCACTGCTTGTCTGTCTGCTCCTGTTGTTCTAAGAACACAAAACACCCTAAGCCATGGGCCAAGAAGTCTATGAGTCCTAGCTGGCCCTTCCAGTACCTTGCAAAATTTTGTTGTTCACCTTTCGTTTTGTTTTGTTTATTATTTCTAATTTTTGTTATGTTAAATTGTATTTGGTTGTATTCAGATGTAAACGGCTCAGAGTGGCCACAGTCAGCTGGACAATAAATAAATAAATAAACGTTTTGATTTCAAGTTACTTCCCCTAAGAAAATTATGCCATGATGCTTCAGTTAGGAATTAAACTTCTTTGCAGACTTTTCAATCATACAATGTTTAAGATGCACATGTGCCTTTGAACCTCCACGTTTATTTAACTATCAACTATACCTTTTACTCATACACTAGATCCCTCTGTTGCAGCTGTTGTTTGCCCAAAGTCTAACTAATCCCACGAAGAGTCTGGTGAAGGGGGGCATTCTGTTTGACAGATCTTTATGTCAGAAGCATCACAGCATAATATATCACATAATTTTTGCCCAACATTAAGAAAATTTGGGGTAGCTGGTATCATGTCTGCTATACAGTAGTACATGAAGAAGGGCATAGAGTGCACTCCCACAAGTGCGAAGTGGCCTGCTCTTCTCTACTCTGACATCTTAGATTCACCTTGGTGCTGCTAACTTCAGTCTGTAGCCTATTAAGTGTCTTCCAAGTAACCCAGTTCTCAGTGAACCTGGGGTTTACACTTACCTGGGGTTCCATCCATTTTAAGATGTGGATATCTCTTTCTATATTGTACTCCTGACATTCTCTTATGTTCCCCCAAGATTCACAAACGTTTTGGGGAAAAATCTTTTCCTTGATTTTAATCTGGGAAGTGGTAGTGGTGGTGAAAGATGTACATTTGGTGTAGATATCTTGAGTCTTTCACTACTAGCTGATACCTATTTATCACTGGGTCCACTGTCTGCTGCTAGGTAACTGATTTTTTTCAATAGGAGTTGGCTTCAGGCATCCAGTAATGATTCTGCAGTTTTCATTGAACATTTACATCTACCTGTTGTGTACGAGTATGTGCTGATTTATATCACGTGAGGCTGATGTATTTGTTTACACAGTAGCATAGTGCCAAGGCTGTAGCTCTTACTGTGATTGTTTGCCCCAACTGGTTCCGAATAGTTTTTGAGGAATATTGATCCTTGCAGAAACCTTTTGCTTGGTACTTTGACTATATTTCTTATAGGTCAGTGTAACATCTAGGTATTGGGGAGCAAAACGATAATCTAGTTGAATGTTCTTCCAGGTAACCTGAAGTTTCTAGCTGACTCCTTATTTCATTTATGAAAGCACATATTTGGGTCTTAGCAGGGTTGTGTTTAAGATGGTTTCTATCATAATACAGTATGTGCCATGTTTTTCTAGTGCATCTGTTAAGAGATGTTCTACCATCTGAAAATTGTCAATCTGAGCAGCAAGTGTGAGATTATCAACATAAATAACACTTTTTTTGGTATGACAGATGCAACATTAGGCTCATATTTTGTATATTCCAGGCCCAGGCAATCTTCCCGATGTTCCTTTCACTATCAGAATTGTTCCCATTTTGAGTGTGAGACTGCATTAGGCAGTTGCCCTAACGCAACTGGCCATACTGTCAGTTTTGTCTGTTAGCAAAACTCAGAATCTGGATTCCAGAACATGACCATATTTCCAAAATGCTGGTTACCTTTATTTTTTTTTATTTTGCAAGATCAGAAATTAGACATCATTTCTGCTATGTATTGCCAAGTTGATTGTGACCTATGGCAAATATTGAGGTATGTGAGGTGCTGAAGGAGTGGTTTTCCATCTGCCCCCTCGTGAATTTCCATGGTCCAGCTGGGATTTTAACCCAGATTTCTTGTGTCCTAATCCATCTGTCTATCCAATACACCTATTTACACTTCAAAATATAGGTTGTGCTAGAACAGTAGGCCTCGTGTTTGCTTACACACAGTCCTCCCTCAATACACCTTGTTAGCAACAAGAGGAAACTTACAGGAAAGGTAGAACTATGGGTTCCAAACCCTGCACCATACCCATATCTCATCTCTGCCTCTGTATCTTCTCTGCCATCACTACTATAGGACTGAAGTAATGTCACACACCATGTCAGGCGTTTGTTCATGTTCTTATCATAGTGTGTTTTATGCTACGGTATTTCTGTTAACTGTATCCTATAGGGGGACATAGAGGTCAAATGTTATGCAAAAGAATGAATGGCCTCAAATCTGACATCACCAATGGCAACCCTAAGAGATAACAGGGAGAATGATTCAGTCTCTGGGGGCATTCTTATCACTGATCTGAAAGTAGTGACTCTGGAGGAAAGAAATTTCATACAGCAGTGAAATACAGCTGAGTTAAAATTAACCAGGAGGTTTCAGTTTACAATCTGAAGTCTGAATTAGGACAAAAAAAATCCTTACCATATGACATGTGTTGATTGGCTTACTTATTGATAGTAGCAAGATGTTTGCATTACAAGTGTCAGTTTTGTGAATGGCCAGGGTTAATAGTCATTTTCAGTATCAATGCCATGAAACCTAATGGTTCTCTGACATCACTTTTGTCAGTTTCACACGTAACCACATGTACTCAACATGTACCCTCAGACATCTGAAGACTTGGACTGTAGTCTATGAGAACATGTGCTGTAATAAATTTGTTAAGTCTTTAAGGTGCAATTGAACTTTTTGTCATTCTTTCAGCAATAGATGATGCCCTTAGAAACCTTGAATTTAGTTCATTTTTTTTAAAAAAATCATGTTTTAAAGCTGCCTGCAGTCTTTCTTCGTTTTCCACCCTTGCAAAATTTGGCTTTGTAATTCTAAGTTCAGTCTTGGTTCACTGGTGCCCTGCAGCCACTTGAGGCAGGGTAACAGCCATAAGATACAAGTTGTTGATTTTTCAGACATGCTGGCCTGTGAGGTATGAGCACAAACCATGCTTTGCAAGTTCACTTTAATTATTGACTAGAACCCAGTTGAATGTTTTCACCTGCATAAGGGCAATGTCATAACTTGAAGTAAATAGCCACTAATTAACAAGTCCCCAAGTAAATTTGTAGTAGAGCATCAGCTGACTGATTCGCATGGGACTAGGAATTGGATCAGGGATTTGCTCATAAACTCTGGCTAGGCCATCTCCTCCCCTTGGGGAAATACTGTAATTTGTTCCTTGTTTTCCTACTGGTTGCTTCCATGTTGCCCTTCAACACATTTATACCCACAGAAGTCAGCTCTAGTGGCTTCCATACTAAAGTTTAGATTTTTATCCTGGTTTATTCTGAAGGGCTTTCTTAAACAATAACCCTTCAATTTTCGCTTTTACTTTACCCTGCCCAATGATTACTCCTAATTTACAGCCATTAATTCATATTATTAGCTTGCACCATATACTGTATTACCACACTTTCTTTTATCAAGGACTGAATTTCCTTGGGGATTGAACTGGCAAGGCCACATACCTATAGTGGGTGGAGCGGAGGCCACTGGCAGACGGGGCTAGAGCCAGAAGTAGACAAATGTACTCCCTTTCTCTTATTCTGCCATACTTTACCCTTGTTTCCCGTCATCTCCTCCTATCTTTTCTCTTAGCTCCTCATCTAGCACATGGGAACATGAACTGATAACTTACAAACAGCTTTTGAAATTAGCCCGTGGCTGCATGTTCTCCATAAGGAAAGGTATAGCAGCTGTCCAGGGTTTCGATCTGGACCCTTTATGATCTTTAACCTAGAGACAGTAACAATTAAACTCGGAGCTTCTGCATAAGACAATTTGCAATTTGGAATTACAAAGAAATGGGTTGGAGACAGGATAATGTGGCTGACTGCCCCCAACCTCAATGCTCGATCAGCGCCCCCAGGGTTTGGCTTTTACCTCTACAGAGAACTCATTAGCTGGGGAAATTCCCTTATGTCTTTCCATACCTCAGTTCATCTGCAAAAGGTTAATAATATTGATCTACCACTCCAAAACAAATCATCCCAATGCATGTTTAATAGGATTCAATAATTACCACTGTCCCCATTCTGTAACCGTTGCCAGCTTGTGGACCTTGGGTGTTCAGTAAAAACAACATAAGCAATGTAGCTCTCACAAGCCTGATGTCTTACCTTTGCTCCAATGGATGATGGCATGTAGAAATCTTCTAGTCCTCGCCCCTACAACCTTAGTGAGGTTAGCATCTGAATTTTATTTTTGCTTCCCAGTCATGCTGCACTGTCTCTTTTAACTTGGGAGGATCCGTTGAAATGTGAGGGTTGTTTTTTAAAAATGTACAATATGCAGAGGGAGCACTTTCAGTTTATAGCAGGGGTTGGAAATGTGTGGTGTTTCAGATGTTGCTAGACTGCAACTTCCATTGAGCTAGCTGGCTCAGGCTAATGGGAGCTGGAGCCCAACAACATCTGGTCATAGGTTTTCCTTGACTTGTGACCTTCAGGCTGTTCTACAACCCAGTTTGTGCAAGCCAAGAGCAGCCTACCAGCTCCCCACAGTTGAGTGTTGGCTTAACTAAGCTTACAGGCAGAGGGAATTTCTCTTCAGTCCGGCGTTGCTCAACAAATGCATTCTCCTTTCGTTCAACCATCCCATCCTTGTCTGTTCCCCAAAGCCAACACAGAAACATCAAACACTCAAAAAGTTGTTGGAAACTTTTACTCAGTTCCATACACTTGGATATGGCGCACTTGTTAACCCCAACAGGGCTGGAGGGAACATCTGAGAGAGAGAATTCTTTCCGGTTTCCTTCCCTGGGGACTTTTTCCTTTGCAGTTATAATTTCTGATATTTCAAATAGAAGGCTCCTACCTCAATTCAAGTTACATACAAGAACAACAGTTTCCTCTTCCAGAACAGGATAACTGAACTCCACATTTATCCCATCAAAGGTTGAAGGAAAGGCAGCAGAATGGGGATCACATGGAGCTAAGTCTATTCCATATGCCAATATCTTACGCATTCCAGAGTTTGTTTGCTGCACAAAAGGGTGGGTTGATGGATCACCTCCAGCCCAGAAACAAATTCTGGATATCTCCTCTTTCTCTACAAAAAGTAGATCCAGATCCTCTGTACATTCATTGTCCAATAGGCCATCTTCGGTTTCCCTCTCACCTCTGTATGATCTCCTCCCTCAAGTATGGATGAAAGGGACATATCTATGCTACACACAAACTGCCATTGTGACCTTTCTCTTTCCTGTCACCTCTGAGAATCCCAAATTCCCTGTACTATCTCTCCATCTCAACCAAACCCTCAACACCCTCCCCAAACTATGATTTCTGCAGTGTCTTAAGGGAAGACCTGATAAGTCATTAAAAAGCCGGTTTCCATTTGCAGAACAGAGGTATTTGTGCCCACTTTTGCTACCTTTCCCTGGACTTTAGAATTCCCATTTCTTATCTTCCAGCATCCAGTGAAATGGGAAACAATTTCACAGACCAATTCAGACCAGATTCTGGACCAAAAAAAGCAGCACCATATATGTTCGCCAATGCTCACTATTCAAACTCAGACTACATTGTCACAGGAGTTCCTGCAGGCCCTATACAGACATAATAATTAACCATAGTTTGTATTTTTGATCATGGTTAAGCATTATATCAATACCCAAATACTGGGTAAAGATTAACTGCAAACAAGAAGTTGAAAATATGGTTTGAAATGGGACTCTCAAATGAGTGTTTGTGTTACCTGTGGTCAACCGTTAGATCTGCACTGAATAAACCATGATTAAAGCAGTTTCCCTATCTCTCTCCAGTTCTGATGCCATCCTCATATAGGCTCTCTGGGAGTGGGATTTTACTTGGCAAACTGAACTAGGGGTTCACTGAGGATCTGAAATCTTAACCAGAGTTAAAGCCACTAACCACAATGAAGAAGTAAACCATAGTTAAGGATTATGTCTGCATAACAGGCTGCAGGAAAAGGAAGAACAGAACACAAACAACCCTATATGGAAAGCTCTGGCTTGGTAGGAGAGTTGAGACCTCCACAGCCAAAGATGGCAGGCAGGTTGTGAGGCAGGGAGATTTTTTTTTTTTTGCACCAGCAAGCCAAACCCAGAGCGCTTACAGAGACCATTCTAGGTGAGAAGAGGACATCTCTGGTTGGATGGGATCAAGAAACAGGTCTGCCTAATACAAGCTGCTCAAAAAGTGCAACCCAGAGAGGAGACAAAAAAGAAAAGAATTGGAAGGCCAGAGTCTAGAGTAGAAGGGACAGGGAACTGGGGTAGAAGTCAGATGTATTGGGGGGGGGGGGAAATGTCCATGCAGGCAGGGCTATTCTCTAAACTGAAGAGAATTAGCTGGTCTTTTCTGCTTTTTAGGACCCCACTGATAAACACAGCCTTCTTTCATCACCTCGCATTGGTTCCTTCCACAGCTCCTTCCTATTGGCTATCCTTTGGCACTGGTAACACCTTGGGCACTGGAACCTGGCTCCCATTTTTCCACCGCATAGGCAGGTACGTCTGAGAGCCGAGCCCACGGGCCTCCTGCGCCGCTAGTTCTTTGCTTCCCAAGCGCAAGGCCATCTACATATCTTCATGTCCTCTGTAGAAGAGGCGCCTTCAGAAATCCTACATGTTGCCTGAGGATTTTATAATAACAGTAATAATAACGATTAATATTATGGCTCTTGTTGAGGTGGGGAGGGGGAGGATTTTTGAACCTTACAAGCGCTTTCATGCTGCATATAAAAATGGTTACATATGTACATATATATACACACACAGACACACATTCTATATAATGTGTGATCAAAGGGAGGAAGGTTGAGTGCCATCTTGTCTATACACACGTGGATAGCAATAAGGGAGGAGCTAGATCTATATCCTTCAGTTGTGAGCCTTGGGATAAAATGAAGAATCCTGTCTGTTTGAAGGAAGCATCACTCACTTGGACTGTCCAAGCAAGAGACAAAGTCTGTCAGCAAACGCTTTTTTTCTGTGAGGCACCTCTTAGTAATAATAGCCAGGAGGAAAGTGAATCAGTGTCCCTGGGGATCCCATGCCCAGATAAGATTCCTCAATATGCCCTAAGCCAGTCTTGCTCTACTTGACCTTCTCCAGATGGGCTGGTTGATGATCGCCATCATCCACCGGTCACAATGGCTAATAATGCCAGGAGTTGCTTCTCTGTCCATCTGGAGAATGCCAGTTTCCGAAAGACTGGTTTTTTTAAAAAAAAAATAAATGGCTAGTAGGGTTTCGGGAGGTGATGGCTTCCATGTTCCAAAGAACAGAATAAAAAGACAAGGACAGTCATTTAAGCTGACTCACAGTGGGGTCCAACAGTTCTGAAAGGGACATCTGATCAGGCAATCAGGGCCAACTCCTTTGAGGGAGGCCTGGAAAGGAACCAGTTAACCTTTGAAAGGTTGAAAAGTTAATTTTGGCTGAGTAAAGGGCTGGGCAAAGAGCCAATTAACCCTTGAAATAGTTATCTGATACAATAAACCCCGTGAGGCTGAGCTATGGGCTGACTAAACCCACGATGGCTGTGGGTTCACTTCTGACACAGGACAAAGAAGGGGTTACGGGATGCAGCCATTTCAGGAAGGACTGAGAAGAAACCAAGTAAAGACGTCATAGCCAAGGTCATAGTGATAAAGAGTGTGGAGGCTGATGAGGGGAGGGGTCTGTGTGACAAAAGAACCAAGACCAAGACATACGTGAGAGGAATATTTGCATGAAAGACCAGTTAAGGACTTGGAAAGGGCTATGCTCTCAAGAGAAAAGTCTAGCTGGATACCACTAAGAACAGTTGTTTGGATGTATGAAATGTGAAACAAACAGCAGGTAAGAATGGCGGGGCAGTTGTATATATGTGTGCGGAAGGCATGATCCACCAGGAACGTCCCATACACAAGTCTGGCTGAAATGATTTGGGCTTGTGTGTCCGTTCCCAGAGCATTCTGCCTCTGAAGGCAAAGGAATAAGTGCAAACCCTGAGTACTAAGCAAGTAATGCGAAGGCGTGGCTAATCGATTCAGAGAAACTCAGCTGAGACTGACAGCACGGGCAGGCCAAATGTGCAGTGGCAGGGGGTGGAGGAAGGAGCCTGAGTGAGACCCAAGTGAAGACTTAAGGAAGACGCTGCCAACAAGATAAAAATAGAGATTCAGCTTTGGTGTGAGGAGAAGAACATGGAGGGCTACAAATCTGACCCAAAGCAACAGGGGGACTCCCTGCATCAGGAAACGTACCAGACAAATGACTCCACAGAAGAAAGGAGGGAGCAGAAAAAATAAGGATCATGTTTCCCAGAGATTTCTGAGGAAACTCGATTCCCCTGGCCAACATCTGGGGTCCGAAATAAGCATCCACATCAAGAAAACTGAGGGCCACCCCAAAAAGGCAATTGCAATTGGGAAAGAGAAAAATTTCGTATGAAATAAAGATCCAACCATCTTTTTTTTTAAAAAAAAATCTTATTGGTACCTCCCTGCCTCCAGATATACAGGGTGCAGAGGCTGGGAGCTATACAGACACAGTGGCCCCTATTTCCTTCTTCTTTCTCCCCATATTATCTCTTCCTGCTCCCATCAGGATTGGAGTGGGGAGCCTGGCTCCCTCACAGTTAATACTATACACTCCCCACAACCAGAGAGCGTCTAGGGGAAGGGGTGTCTCTCTTTATAGATATTTGCAAATATAATATTTATAATATTGCATTGAAAAAATAAAACTTAAAAAATAAAACGAACCACCATGTGTGAGAGAGGAGGAGGAGGGTGGTGGTGGTGGTGGTGGTGGGGAGAGAGGGAGAGAGAGAGAGAGAGTCCATCCCAGCAGAAGAGGGCATCAGTCAGTGCCTGGCTGCCCAGATGCCAGAGGCAGGTATGCACTTCTCCTCGAACGGAGGCACTGTGACCCTCTCGCCCCACGCCATCCCCGCAGAACCCCAGCAAGAGTCCACACTCCACAGTCTGATTTGAAGATGCTGCCAGTGGGGATGTCTGCAGGGTGGGGCGGCGGGCTTCTATTCCGCATCCCCCAGCAACTCAGATCGATGGGCTTCAAAGCAGCAGGCTTGGTCGTCCGTTCTGCCCATTCACTGCAGAAAAATAATGAAAGGGTTACAGGCAGGATGGATTTTGCTCCCGCCCACCCTTTCTTCTCCCCCTTACGCCATTTTCCACATGCTTTGATGCTTTCCCCTCTTCCCACGTCTTCTCTGCCTCTAATGATAATACCCAGTGTTTCCGTAATGCCGTGAACGCCCTAAAGTGAGAGTGTTCCAAAATATAAAGGGAGCTTTTGCACAGGTTATCTCAGGAACTTTTCAAAATGACGTACCTGAAAGGTACATCAGGGCTATTATTCTCATCTTTTCGGGGTGGGGTGTGAGGCTGAGAGAGAGAGAGCAGCTTGCCAAAAGGCAACTGTTAAGTTGATGACAGAGGTGAGATTTGGCCAAGGAACTTTCCTGCTTCATCCCTCAGCCTCTAGACTAGTACGCCCCACCTGACCTGGCCCTCGCATCCCTCTTCCCTCCCCACTCCTCAAAGACTTTCCATCCCTCCCCCAGTTTCCAATCCCAGATGATACCCAGCACCCCTGCAAGCGACGGTGCATTGAGACAGAAGGGAAGAGCTTGGGCGGGTTGGGGACAGGCATGTCGAGAGGAGCAGAACTGTATCGCAATGAGAAAGAGGGAATGTCACCTTGTC